GATTATTATGAAATTTAGCATTGTATCATACAAACTTATGTTAGATTCACTATTTTTGCCATATTGAAATATGTTTACAATAGCATTAAGACCAGTAGCTGGTTTCCCCATTTCCAGTACATGCATATACAGTAAACTTCTTTTATAACGTACTCGGTTACAAAGTATCTCCGGATGTAAAGTAGCCATTCCGTAGTCCCGGCAACATGTCTATATATTTCATTGGAAAAAACACCGCTTACAACGTATTTGTATATAACGTAGTATCGCTTATAAAGTATTAGAAATTTGGTCCCGTTACATAATTACACCTCTCATAACGTATTCTGACACATGGTTTCACACCTTTTCAGAGCAATGACTGCGGATTAGTCATGGTTTGTTGACCTTATAGCTTCTCTGTATGGGTGTTTTTCTAACGAGGTTTCTTTGTTGTTTCAGGTAGATGTATATATTTATAAGACCGCGGAACATTAACTGGCAAAATTGGAAATATGCAGCTTACGTCATTTCCATCTGTTACAATCAAAACATTTAATGATAGACATGCAATGGAATGGGCGGGTACAATTCGAGACGGACGTCCTAGAAAACATTGGATTGAAATTCTTATTTGAAATTCATTTTCAATCCACCTCAGCTACGCTAGATGGCAATGTCTTACTAATTGACCCAGAACACAAATAATTTCAATTTCGGAATATTTTGAAGTTTAAATGTAAAAATCAGAATTTCTGTCCAGCGTTTTTCAAGAAATATAAAGGGACAAATATTTTATTTCTGTTAGGTATGTGCATGCAGAGTAGGGGGGGGGGGGGGGCTGAACGATCTTGGTAATAAAAAAGAAAGTTTTTATTTTTTTAGTTTGGACAACCCCTCCCTGTTTTTGATTGTCAAACATTTTTTGCAGTGAAGAAAATGCTAAAGAAAATACCTCTTGTCATCCTAGAATTAAATATATTTTGTCATGTGAAGGCATGATCTGACTCGACAATTCCCCCCCTTTTTTTTTTAGAATCAAATAGCCATTCCCTAAAAAAATATTCTCTGTTTTCTATAACTTTTATGTGTCCTTAAAATTATAGGCTAAAAACTCATATAAACAATGATAAATATGAATTTCAAACAACATGTATTTGGGAATTGAAATGATTCAAATGTCTTTTTGATCATACATTCACACTCTGTGTTTGAAAACAGGTCAGGTGGATTGAAAATGAATTTCAAACTAGAATTTCAATCCAATGTTTTCTCGGACATCCGTGCCGAATTGTACCCGCTCTATCATTAAATGTTTTGACTGTAACAGATGGAAAAGACGTAAGCTGTATATTTCCAATTTTGCCAGTTAATGTTCCGAGGTCTTAATAAATTGTTTGAATAAAGTTCATCGAGTAGATGTACTCAAAATTGTTTGAATAAAAATTCATCTTTGAGTCAGTAAATAGCAATATAACAGAAAATGATATAATTTAACTTGTGAAAGAAAAATACATTGATTCACTATCAGTAGACAGTGAGGACGACGAGGTCATGCCTGACACGTGCATACCATCTACCCAGACGATCAAAGGGCATAAGTCCGAAGTTTTCACGACTCTGCCAACTCTGGAGACTTTAATATGTAAATAAATGTCGTCAGGCCAAACAGACAAACATTACGGACTTTTTATATGATCTGACGATCATCAAGATTGTACAGCACTTAAGTATACCCGTAAATCATTTATTTACATACTATACATACTTTAAAATATCAATAAGACACTAGCGGTTTGGAAAGTGCTTACGGTAAAGGTGTACTGTGTACTTCCGGTCTCTGTTTATAACGTACACCGGTTATAACTTAGGATTTATCACAGTCCCCTGAGATAGGTTATAAAAGATGTTTACTGTATCAACTGACCAGCAAGGCTGCACTCTAGAAAAAGTAGTCCTGTAGATGGATATAAGGCCAAAAAAAATAATAGTCTAGTTTCCTGCTACCCGACCTACCCTATTTTTTGCACCCGACCCTAAAGTTTTTTTTTTGTTTTGGAAGAAAAAAAATCGGGAATTTCCGGAATTTCATCGTTCTTTCACGGTAATCGGTTTCTGTGTTAACACAAAACAAGCATTTTATGAAATTCTTGTTTTAAATATGGACTTTCATAAAATGCCACTTGAGTTGTGCATAAAAAGACATGAAATTCAATTTTAAAAGACAATACATGTATTGACCTGTGACATGTTTAATTTTATCTTGTATTAGTTCATATCCAAAAAATGCTGTTGGAAAAAAATAAAATAAAAATATAAAATGAAATAATTTTCCTACCTACCTACCCTATTTTTTCAGGCTGGTAGCAGGAAACAGGACTATTATTTTTTTGGCCAAAACTTTTAAATAAGAATTCACATGTATACATACAGCAGTATAGAGGGAAAAATTGCTAGAGAATTTCAAATTATTAATATGCAGCTAATACAGTAGACATTAATAATTGGTGGAATCAGTGCACAAATGGATTTCAGGGGCATATATAAAATTTTTATGTAACAAGCATTCTGAGAGCATTGCATTAGAAATGCTAGTCCCATAATGTCAAGTTTAATCTGGTTCCCCTTAAAAATTAAAAAGGCTGGAATTCCATCAAAAATCACTGAAGTGGAACTAGATGCATACTTGATCTATAACTCATCAAGGTAGATTCACATATCTAAAATCAGCTCAAAATCTGCCAAAAAAAAAAAAATGCAAAAAAAAAAAAAAAAAAAAAAGGGAGACACTGATAAACAGACATAGGAACAGCTAGGCAGACAGATGGATATAGACAAGGAGGAAACTTATACATGTAGTTCCCTCCATCCTCACAATGTCAAGGTTTTGTGAATTCGGAACTCCACACAAAACCTTGACATAAGTCATTATTTAAAAGTTGGGCTAGAAAGCTACTAATATTTCATTTGTTCCTGGTCTAGGACTGGAACCAATCAGAAAATGGCTTTTATTGTAGGTACATGTAGGTTTTGTAAACAAATATGACTCGGCTTTAAAATGGAATGTGTCAATATTGTAGGATTTGTTACTTTAAATGAAACATTGGGGACTAATTTTTTTGAAGATCGTCCTCCTTACAGTCACAAAAGATATGCTCTGGAGTTGTGCAATTTGATAACAACAGATTTGAAAAATATATTCTCATTATCCTCACAATGTTAAGGTTTTGTGATTTCGGAACTCCACACAAACCCTTGACATAAGTCGCTATTTAAAAGTTGGGCGTGTGGTTATACACATGACGTAATGGATAATTTTAAACTAACCAATGAGAATATATTTCTGAATATATATTGACCTATGTCAAGGTTTTGTGTGGAGTTCTGAAATCACGAAACCTTGACATTGTGAGGATGTATTCTCATTGGTTAGTTTAAAATTATCCATTACGTCATGTGTAACCACAAGCCCAACTTTTAAATAGCGACTTATGTCAAGGGATTGTGCGGAGTTCCTAAATCACAAAACCTTGACATTGTGAGGATGAGTTCCCTCCAGTTTCACCGGTAAGGGACTATAATTATATCACTATAATTATATCATGTATGTTCCTTAGGTAAGCAGTGTAACTCTGTTCCTGTCTTATATGAAAGAAGAACTATTTTGTACATTCAGATTTTTTAAAGTCAACCTTCCAAATTAATACACTGTAGTTATATGGAAAATTTTAAAAAAAATCAGAGTTAAAATCTTTAACATTTTATGAATTTAGGAGACTTTCTCTGTAGAAAGTTGGTCAGATTACAAGTATAGTTAATAACGTACATGTATTTCAAAAATGAAATACAAATGTTATTGATACAGTCTTGAAGAGAAAAAAATACTTGTAGGCAAACTTATGGAACTCAAATTGGTCTACTAATTGCTTATTCAAGAACTTATTTGAAGAAGCTACTGAAATTAATTCAGTTATCAAGACATTTTGCAGCAGTATAAAAGGCACTTTAATTGTAAACTGTCGATTCTAAAGAAAAAATCACTATTTTTTGACGGGGGCTTGTTGGTGTTTTTTTTAAAATCAATGTCATCTCCTTTGTGAAGAAGTAATTCAACTCTCTGGCTCACTAGTATTGATTTGATTTTAATGTCGTGAGCACGATATCGAAGATGAAAGTAACAATAATCCCTTTGAAGTTTGTTGACGTGCTTCATTATTAGGTATTCACATCCGGCATCAAAAACTTGTGAAAACTAGAGTTATTGTAAGTGAATGAAATTTAAACTCTCATTAGATACACTTTCGTTTGGCTGTAGATACATGGAATTGCTGTTACATGTATAGCAGTTAAAAGACTTTTAATGATTTTAAGGTTATATTTATTAATGAATATAAGTAAGTGTTGGTTTCTACATGTAATTACTGGTAAAATTAAAATCAGTAATTTTGGTTCAAGTCCTGACATTAAATTAAATAATTATATTATTTTGTATAGATTGAAATGCAATTTTATTTATAAAATACAGTCCTATATATATAAGATCACCCAATCTTATATTAATCTAATTCTATTGTATTGGATAAATTTTCTTATTTTGCTTAACAATTAAACTTTTTTCTTTACGAAATTCATAGTAGAGCTTAATATTTAAATTAGGTAAATGAGACAGAATAGCTAATTTTTATTATACGTTTATCATATTTTTTATAACATTACATTTAGCATACTAGGTACTAATAAATTACACTTTGTGTGTATTTTGTGGTAATAAAAATGAGCACTACAAATGGGCAAAACTTAGGCAGATCCAGGAATTTTTTTTTTTTTTTTTTTTTTTTTTGGGGGGGGGGGGGGGGGCATAGCCATTTAAAAAAAAATCTGACAAAATGTTTTGCCAAGCAATAAAAAATTGGGGGGGGGGGGGGGGTTGCATAAACTAAATAAATGAAAATCCTGGGGGTCCATTCCCTCAAATCCTTCTAGATCTGCACATGCAATATATTGTTCTTGTATCTTTATAGGAAACATGGCTGCATTTGACATGGGAAACCCAGAGTCAGTTGTCTCCCCTGGAGGGGTGGGATTTGACATTAACTGTGGGGTCCGTCTTCTACGTACCAACCTGTATGAGAAAGATGTCGCTCCTGTCAAAGAACAGCTGGCCCAGTGTATGTTTGATCACATCCCAGTGGGCGTCGGCTCCAAAGGAATCATACCAATGACTGCTCAGTAAGAAGAACCATTGCAACATATGGTCTTAAGGGTCTATCAGAAATTTAAGGGAAAAATAATATAATATAAAAAAAATTAGTTTGCATTAGGAAAATGTGTGTATGAAGTTTCATCTTTCTCTGATGGGGATGTATTGAATTTGTGTCTGTGGTCTGTCTTCACTATTTTGTCTCAAGCTTCATTTAAGATGACTAGGTCAGTTAACAATGAAGGGTAGAAATCATTTCAGAAATCTTTTTTGATGAGTATTATCTTTATGAACAGAGAATTTCAAAAATAATCTTAATGTTGAGAAAGTTCATAAACTGATTGTACAGAATAGGGTTTGTTTCCATGCATGTCGTACATGTATAGTTAATAACACCTGAATTTAACTTCTGTTTGGAATTTCTGCGAGATTCTTCATAACAGAGTCATTACAACATGTACATGTCAAAGAGAAGCAATAGCAAAAATCAATGTTTCAGACTGTACATGCAGTCGTATAGCCAGGATAAAATATGATGATCAGAATGAGGAAGTCATTAGACAGTGCTTTGGAGACATATCCAATAGAGTGTTGACCACTGGGATTTATAATGATATCATTAGGCCAGCTCATCATAGACATAGATTTGTCACCGGTCAAATAAAGTCACAAATACATAACAAATTATCTATCATGAGATTTTGATAAACTGCAGTTCTCTAATGTTGTCTGATTAGTCTAGACAAGAGAATTTGCCAGATTATTATAAATGGGAATACTGGTATGTGTTTTATTATTTCCCATTGGAAGTCCACTTTTCAAAATGTTGGATTTGGAATCAATTTTGTCCTTTTTTTTCCTTCATCTCGATCAGACTGTCATTTTTATTTTGCACCTGCATGTATATGTTTGACACATAAAAAATGTCCTCTGGAAGGTTTATAATAAGTGAGATTTATGAAAAAAACATAAGCTGTTCCAACCCAGGTTTTAAAAGTATTATAAACTTAGGTAGCTAAAGAGGCATTTTTTGTAACCAGCTATTACATGTACCAATAATTTAAACAATATTATTACACATTTATCATGGGAAGTTTTGGTATATTGTTGCTTTCACAACCATCTTTCTGTAAAAAAATTTTCTCGTCACGTACAATTCCCTCTACATTTTCAGGGGAAGCTCAAATTTTTTGCATAATTGGTCATGTTGATGTGTAAGAAGGTTTTTGAATTTTGATTTCTGCCTCAGAGGTCCCCAGGGACCTTTCAGGTGTGGTTTAAAAATTAGAAGGTTGTCAGGGAACTCCATTCATGTTGTTGAACAATATTTTGTAAAAATTAATCTTTGCCCCAATTAAGGCTACACAGGGGGCTCAAAAATGTGTGATCTTTATAAGAGTTTATCATTACAACCCTTTCTACATTATTTTTGAACTAGTTTTGGAATAGCTGTGCTAATTAAGGTTGTAGATGTGTAATACTTATGTTGTGAATACTGGAAGTGACCTACATTTTCCAAATGAGTGATCAGCTTAATTTTTTAAGCACTGATTTTTCACTTGTAATATTTCATGTGTTGATCATGTTAGTCAAAACTTGCATGGCAGATTACACCATTAGTTTTGCTATGTCATAAATAAGAGTTAACTGTAAGCATGTAGCTAAAAGCAAATACCAATTTTTATCATTTTCATCATGTTCATTTTAACAATTTTCTTTAGCTGATCAGACATCTAACTTCAAAGATCTAAACTTGAAATAAATCTTCATTGTAGTATACAATGTATGTGTTAGACATTGTATATAATAATATATTATTTCTGTCTTATATTTATTTATACTCTCCAAAGCTAAATCTGTGAATGGATTTTTCAGGAATTTAGAAGAGGCCTTAGAAATGGGAATGGACTGGTCACTCAGGGAAGGTCTGTATTACTGAGAAATCACTGATTTTTTGGGGGGTGGGGTGGGGGGATGGAGGTTTAATTTTCATTGTTTTCGAGTAATGAAGAGAGACATGAATTCACATAACTACTTTACAATCCTTTATCCACGAAATCAAATCCCCACAAACCTATTGTTTTTTGTCAAATCTCGAAAAATTTACCCCACAAAAATATGTGATTTTACAGTATTTCCATCATTAAGAAAGGTCAAGAGATTTCCATCTTATTACACATACATGCAATTACAGAAAGTTAATCCTCAAAGGAATTGATATTAAAATTTGTTCAAATACATGCAATAGACAATTTATGTGTTGGTTTAATTTACACTAATTTCAAAGTATCTTTGCAGAATTATTACCTTACTTACATAAGCGCCATTATTTGTGTGTGTTAGTGAAACACGAGAGCATTACAGATATTGACACATGCAAATGTTCTGCCGTTTAGATTTGTATATTACTTTACAAGCATTCTAAAAGTACTGCAGAAGAAATTCTGAGAACTTTGCTTGTTTGGGTCATAATTCTATCAAAAATCAATGAAATAGAATGAAATGTATGTAACTGTTCAAGATTGACTCGCATACTAAAAATCAGTATATGCAAAAGTCTAGGAAAAAAGGTCTTTAAAACCTAGTGAGACAGTCTGTCCGACCGACATGGATAGACAGAGGGGAAACGTATAGTCTTCTCTGGTTTCATCATTAGGGGATAACTAAGGTGCAGAAATTTTCACATTTACTTTAATTCTTTATATACAGTGTATCTTATCAGGGTAAGCCTTGTATATTTATTTTTTTTTTATCAGGTTAAGTGTGATATGTGTGTATTTTTCATCAAGGTAAGTCTGATATATATGTGTCTTTTTCATCAGGATATGCCTGGGCAGAGGATAAGGAACACTGTGAGGAGTATGGGAGGATGTTACAGGCTGATCCCTCCAAAGTCAGCAGCAGGGCCAAGAAAAGGGGGCTCCCACAGGTCTGTGTCAAATGATATAGAAACAGATTCTGGAAAAGTACATGTAATTGGAAGAAAGATAAAGTATGTACATGTAGGTGCAAGATTGCACAAAATTTTGTAACCCTAATTTTCGTTGTTACATAGAACATTTTAACTATGATGAAAATTTTATCTGTTGTAGTTGGGGACTTTAGGGGCAGGTAACCACTATGCAGAGATACAGGTGGTGGATGAGATCTACAATAAGTTTGCAGCGAAGAAGATGGGGATTGAGTCTAAGGGACAGGTGTGCGTGATGATTCACTGTGGAAGCCGGGGGCTGGGCCACCAGGTGGCAACAGGTAAAAACTATACACACATTCTAATTAAAATCAGATCTTTCATGCTCTCAGAAATTCTGATAGTGACTATCAGAATTTAGGAGTGGATCAAAGATCTAATTTTAATCAGATTGCCTGAAAACACAGATTCACTTTGCTTGTAAGGATTTACACCAGTTGGTTGAAATGTTGTTTTTTTTTTAATTTAATTAGAGTATTATTTAAAGTGATATTGGTAATGAAAATATGAGATTGTTGGCAAATAAGGAAATTAGAAATTTTACCATACACATGTACAATGTAGCACTGAAAGACCTGATATTTTTCCTTGAAGTGTGTTGAATATTATATAGCTATATAGGTAGTTTCTTTTGTCAAGAGTGGTAGATTTAAAATATTCTGCTTTTGTTTTTCAGACTCGCTGGTTGCCATGGAAAAAGCTATGAAGCGTGACAACATTAATGTAAATGACCGACAGTTGGCCTGTGCCAGAATTAACTCCCCTGAAGGTCAAGACTACCTCAAAGGAATGGCCGCGGCTGCCAACTATGCATGGGTGAATCGTTCAAGCATGACCTTCCTCTGCCGACAGGTAAAACTTAAACTATACAGACATTTTTACAAATTTACTTCTTAAGAAGACTTGAAGGAGTGTATAGAAAAAATTAACATATGAGGTGAGTAAAATGTTCTTTGTTGAAAAAAAGAATTATAAATACTTTATTTCTATGTTCAGGCCTTTGCTAAGATGTTTGATAGTACCCCAGATGATCTGGACATGTTCATGATTTATGATGTATCACACAACATCGCCAAAGTGGAAGAGCATTTTGTGGATGGCAAACAGAGGACCTTACTCATCCATAGGAAAGGTTCAACTAGAGCGTTCCCTCCCCATCACCCCCTCATTCCAGTGGACTACCAGGTAAAATAATGGCCAGGTGTAAGAATCCTACCTCCAAATGGTAAAACATTTGATCATAGAATTACACAAATTATGGATGCATGTGAAATATTGTATTTTACTCTCTGATATAACATGTACAGTGTACATGAAAATGAAGAAATGTAAGAATTGTTCTGTGGGCGAAAAAAATTTACTGGAGAGCTGGAGAGAATGTGAATTCAATGTTTATTACTCTCATTTAAACATGAAATACTGTAAATAAAGAAATTGTTAAGCAAAATCATTTATTCTAATTTTCAGCTTAGACATTTCAATGTGCATCAAGCACTGTTGAGTAGAAAAAAAGCATCTTTATCACAGACATTAACTATAATTCCATACTTGTAATGTCTAATTGGTGGAATTGATTAACAACATGTATTAACACAGACATTTATGGGATAGAATTGTCAATATTGGACTTATTTTTTTTCTCTTATCAGCTGACAGGACAGCCAGTTCTGATTGGAGGAACCATGGGAACCTGCAGCTATGTACTCACAGGAACTCAACAGGGAATGGAAGAAACTTATGGTACCACGTGTCACGGAGCTGTAAGTTTACATATCCAATTAAGCTGTGTATTTTAATGTTTCAGTGGACATAATTTGCTTCATTTTTTAATTTTGGAGGAATTTTCAATGCTTTGGTTCATGTTTAGAGTTTTAGAGAGAAGATTAATGCTAACTTTCACAAGTATAAATTATAAACATAATGTCATTAACAAGATACTGAGGGCAGTTTATTATGTTAGCAAGATAGATAATATAACATTAAGTTTTAATTTTATTTTTTTCACTAGGGATGAGCCTTGTTTAAATATACTTTAGACATACCTATTTTTGCAGTGATTATATGTTAGCATCTTTTGATGCTTCAATCTTGACTGCTAATTTATGTACATGCTATTATATAAATAAAACTGATACATGTTGTTTAGCTAATTTATCATTGCACTTATCAGTAGATGAAGACGATTATGCTAAATTTTGAGTGCACTAATTTATGGACTTTTACAGTAGATAATATATAACAGCGAGTTTTTATTTTTCCAGTGAGGATGAGTCCTGTCTCAAGATAGACAATATCATACTAATTTTTTTACAACTAGGGACGTGCCTTATCTCAAAATAGATATTCATAAAACGTTGAGTTTTTATTTTCTGCTAAGGAAGTGCCTTGTCTCGGGATAGATAATGAAACATAGAGTTTTTATTTTCTGCTAGGGACGTGCCTTGTCTCGAGCCAAGTCTAGGAGGAATCTTGACTACACAGAAGTGCTGAGTGCTTTAGAGGAAAAAGGGATCAGTATAAGAGTTGCCTCCCCTAAGTTAGTCATGGAAGAGGTACATGTTTACATGAAGTAATATTTTATATGCAGTAACTTTTGTTTGGTACTGTCTTATACAGGAATTATAGCTTTGGTAACTGACAAATACAGTTCATAGTTAATATGAATAATTTTTTAGTAACACGTACATTACTTGTTAACCATTTAGGTAATGGGGGGGGGGGATATTGCAGTAGTTGCATGAATTTATTTTCTCTCTCCTCTTATTCAAAAGAAATAGCAAATGAAAATAAATGTTTTATGTCTGTGCATTTTTGTTCACATCATATAACAGGACTGAAAATTCTCTTGTGTGGATTCTTCCTTGAGAAATAATACTTTGTTTTTTCCTCACTATACAGGCCCCAGAATCATACAAGAATGTTACTGAGGTGGTTGACACATGTAAGTTTGTTTTCACTGCAATAAAACTTTTTCTCAAAACTTTTAATTTAAAACAAATTACTTCAATATCAATTTTCATTAATTATGATTTTCATTATTAATAAATCTGATTTTCAGAAAGGAAATACTTAACATTATTGTCATTTTTTATGTTAATCTTGTATGAAAAATTTTGAAATGGGTAATAGACTTTTCCAATTATTTATTTATCTATATATAGGTCACATGGCAGGAATTAGTCGGAAGGCCATTAAACTTCGTCCAATCGCAGTAATTAAGGGATGATATATTACGAGACATCAACAAGGCTGTACCTATGGAATAGATGATATTTGGACTTTTGGTGCAATAGGGTGCAAAATTTAATTGATTTGTTCATGTTGATTAAAGTGTTCTACCAACAACATTTAATTTAAAAATTTTTGTCAAATATGTGTACTTATTTTTTTTCCAAGAGAGAGAGGATTTTTATGAGCAAGTCTACCAGAAAACAGTTATTTTTTTCATTAATTTTAGAAGATTGTACATGTATGAATGAAGAGATGAAGAATTATTTTTGCAAAGATGTATAACCATTTTTTGTTTTGTTTTTTGTTGTTGTTTATTATTTGTCAAACAGAAAGTCCCTCTAATACCCTATTTAACTTTTTATGTGCCAAATGATGTTGAAAATGAAGATCTGTTCCTACTGTTTACATGACAGGAAATTTGAAATTCTGTTTGATCTTGGTAAAACTTGTCTAATCTGTACATCACTGGTTCCATAGAAATTGTTCAGATTAGACAGCATTTCTGATTAGATAACATTTTAAACAATTAAATTTACCAAAAGGGACTAAATGTTTTCACCATTATAGACAAGATTTCGGATTACAGAATATCTGGATTAGACAAGTTTTACTGTATCTTTATTTTGAAATCAGCAATTTTTTTTCAAGCTCCATTAAGAAAGCTGTTCAGTTTAGGAGTTCAAATTTTAATCTGTATAGATTTAAACTATGAAAACATTATAATTTTGATTTAGTGTCTTGCAAAAAACATTGTTATCAATGCAAATCAAATATGTAAGGAAATTTTGAAGTATGATTACAAATTTAGTAATTACAGTTGAACTTCAGTATCTCGAACACAGATATCTCAAATACCATGGATATGTCGAAGTCATTTTGAAGTCCCAACTGCTTATTCCTTATAAGTATTTCATATCTCGAATCCTTGGTTATCTCAAAGTATTTTCTTGGTCCCTTCGAGTTCGAGATAAGGAGGTTTGTCTAGTTTTAAAATAAATATGCAAGTAGGTCAATTTCATCATGCATATTGTTTTTGCTATATTTAGATGTGCACAAATGCACTTGTTGAGACTTCCTAATTATACACATGTATGTGCAGATGGGGAATAAAATAATCATAAAAATCTTCATGACTTCAAGCTAGAGAGGTTTTTATTAGTCTATAAGTATTTTTAGCTCCTCTGAATTGAAGGCTCTAGGAACTAATGCTATGGTCATTTGTGTGATGGGCTACATTTAACTTTATCAATTCTATGGTTTAAACACTTTCATTCAACCAGAAAAAAAGGTTAGCTGCGGAACTGTAGCTCTCTGGTTTAAAATTTTGACAGACTGACCGAGTTTTTTCAACCAGAGATACAGTTCAGGATGTGACCATTAAACAAGGGAAGACAATCAGGAAAATGCCAAAAAGTAGTGGTTGCTTAAAGGATCTTTTTATCAAGAATGACTGAGTAAATTATTACCAAACTCATACATAAGGGTGAGGATATACTTTGGTCTCAAGGTGACTTCAAAGTATAGACCTAAAATGATATTTTGTAAAAACTTTGATATTTCGCATACCCTGATGACCAATATCACCAAATATTGTCAGTTGATGTATCCTAGGACCTCAGAAAATGTTGACCTTTAACAAGGCAATAGTGAACAACTTGAAAATTTTGCAGCCATTCTTTTTTAGCTCACCTGAGCTAAAAGCTCATGTGAGCTTTTCTAATTACCCATTGTCTGGTGTCCGTCTGTCTGTAAACTTTTCACGTTTTCAACTCCTTTGATAGAACCACTTTTAATCAAAGTAGGTACAAAGTATCCCTGTGTAATGGAGATTCTAAGTTGTTAAAATAATGGGCCAAGTCCCCTTCCAAGGGGAGATAATCAAGGAAAGACAAAAATAGAATGGGGTCATTAAAAAATCTTCCCAAGAACCATTGGGCCAAAAAAGCTGAAACTTTGCAGAAGCTTTAGTGTAAATTGTTCAGATCATGTCCCCTGACTGTAGGGTTGGGTTGCAATAGGGGATCACAGTTTTACATTGAAATATATTGGAAAAATTTTAAAAATCTTTTCAAGAGCTGCTGGATCAGAAGAGCTGAAACGGATGTGAAAGCTTCTTGAGGTAGTGTAGATTATAAATTGTTCAGATGATGAACCTTGGGGATAGGGTGAGCCTGGGGTCACAGTAGGGATTACATAGGGAAAAATCTTTTAAACTCCTTTTCTCAAGAACAACAAAGTCATGATGAATCATATTAATGTGGAAACATCCTCTGGTAGTGTAGAGTCATTTTTGTTCATATCACGGCTCCTGTGTTTAGGATGGCCACAAAAGTTAATCAAAATTTTACCTAGGAATTCATGTATATTGGAGAAAAAATCTACAGGGTAATGCAGAACAACAGGGCCAAAGTGACTCAGGTGAGCATTGTGGTCCATAGGCCTGTTTTTGAGAGGTATATCTTCGATATAGTGAAGCCTAGGATCATAATACAATACAGCAATCAAAGTATATAGGAAAAAAAATCTTTATAATTCTTTTCCTAAGAACAGCAAAGCCATGATTTGTCGTAATTATATTGAACCATCCTCAGGTAGTGTAGGTATTCAAGTGTGTCCAAATAATGGCTCCTGGAGGTAGGGTGGGGCCGCAACAGAAAATCATATTTTTATACAGGAATATATAGGAACAATCTTTAAAATTCTTTTTATGAACAGCAAAGTTGTTACGTTACATGTGTGTTAGTCATATTGATACCAGTATTAGTGCAAGCATCCTACGGTACTTTAGATTCAAGTTTGTTCATATCAGGGACTTGGGAATAGGTTGAGGCTACAACAGGGGACCAGAATTTTGCTTAAGAGTACAAGTATATAAAAAGATCTGACCTACATTTTTGGGATGAGTGAACAGGTTAAAGTTTTTTAAGAGGATTCATTTTAAAGTAAGTATAAGCCTTATTTTGATCAAACATGCATGGATGATACATCTAAGGATGCACACTACCAGACGTACCTCAAATGCTTGATTTGACCTACATTTTCCAGAAACCAAGAAACCATAAGGCATACCTGAACAAAACTTGCATGGATGATGCATCAAGGAATGCCCACTAACAGAGTTGCTTTGCATCCTGGATTTGACTTACATTTTTCAGATGAATGACCAAGTTTTGGAGCAGGTTTTATACAGTGTAACTCCAAGCCCTGTGTGAACCAGACTTGCATGGAATTGCATCTAGGGATGCAAACTAGCATACAGGTACTTGCTTCAGATGCTGGATTTGACCTTGACTTTCTTGATGAGGGACCAAACATGTTTTGGAGCAGGTTCATTCCAGTTTATATTAAGCAAAGGACAAGGTATGGTAACATCCGACTTTGGCCCCTTATTTGATGTAAAAATCAAAACACAGTTAAAATTGTGATAATTTGCAGTTAAGAACTTAAAATGTTGTTTGTTTTTAAAATTTTGATTCAAAGAGTGCAGGGAGGCCAAAAGAGGGTGCCATGCCAAAGTTGGACATTTTTCCGAATTTCCTCAATTCTGATGGAATTTTGTCAAATTTGAGATACTTATCACTTTGGAAAACATAGAGCACAGGCTTGCCTATCTGAGATTTTTATACACAAGAAGGATCTGATACTAGTGCATGAAATATATAAATTTGTTAGATAGGCAAGTTTGTGCTCTGTGTTTCCTGAAACAAAATGTGTTATAAAATTGATGAAAATTTGCATAAAAATGAGAAAATTCGGAAAATGACATATGTTGTGACCTTCCTGTGACCTTTGTGTACCACATAACTTAGAATCAATACTCATTTTGTAAGAGAGATGACAACAGGTTAGTAATGATGAACTATTGCATCGCTCCTGGAGACGCCAGAAATCAGGAGCCAAAAAGGGGTCTTAGCCTATCTTGTCCATTGCAATGATGAAATATTTAGGGATGCATGCTACTAGACATAATTTTAATCCTGGATCTGACAAGAAATATGCTTTCCGTACATGTACTGGTGGTCAGATTAAAGTTTTTTAAGCAGTTCCATTCCCAAGTAACTGTAAGACCTACCTGGATCAAATGGAAGATACATCAAGGGATGTACACTAACAGACTTGCTTTGTATGCTAGATCTGAGTTGCATTTCCTGGATGAGTGAACAGTTTAATTAAGTTATTAGAACAAGTCCATTCCCAAGAAACTGCAAGCCCTACCTAGACCAAAATTGCATAAATGTTGCATCTAAAGGGATCAATCTGATTGAAATCAGCTGTTCTGATAGCTACTGCTTACGATCGGTAGCGTATCAGAACAGCTGATTTTAATCAGATTGAAAATTAAGTTTCTGGGTTTTTTTTCAATACCTTTTGCAAATATGTTAGCTAATGTTCAAGTATTATTTCAAATAATTCGAAGACATGCATTAAAGAAATTCTTAGATATGAAAAAAAAACCCAAACATTCCATACAACTTATTTTAAAAATTTGATCATTGACCTTGTATAATTTAAATTCTATTAGATTAAGGAAATACAAGTAAACTGGGGCTATAAATTATTTAGAGTTCTAATCATTCAGGTTTTTTGGATATATTAGATTAAATATGCCTTAATTGGGTAGAATTAAGAAAATTAACGGAAGAAATTTTAACCTCAATATTTAACAAGTTAATTGCTCAAACTCTGTGTATGTCATTTAGCAACACTATTCTTATTTTTTTTTTTTTTAATATACATGTATTTCAATATCCGAAAAGTTATAATACTTGTCATATTTTTTTTTTTTTTTTTTTTTTTTTGAGAAAGAAATTCTTGGTCATTATGCAACACTTTAAGCATATTAATATGGAGTTTTTTTGAGAATTACTCAGAGGCCAGTGGCCACTAGCATGAAAAGTAGGTCACTGGCCTTCAGTGTACTTATTCGAACGCGAAAAGTAGCACCACAGTCATAGGTTTACCGTGTCCAATAGGTTGCTTTTCATATATATTTTAACATTTTGGCGCTCAGAGATTTTTCAATTCGAACAAAGGTCAAAGTAGCCTGCCTCGGGTTAAGAATTGATCATGCTCAGAACATGTTGTTACACGTTGAGTATCGAATAAGCTGGGAGATATAACTACCAGATGCAGGTAATAGTGGAATATTACATGTACTTCATAAATGAGGAGGTATGGCGATGGAAAAGCTTAATTTATCACAAATTTAAAGCAATTCTCTGGGTTTCTTAATTGTTACACAGGTATATTTTTCCTTGTTTGTGAATAATAATTATTCCGATAAAAATTAAAACATTCAATGAATGCAAATATTACAAACGAAACCCTTTTTAATGAGAATACTTGATTTTTGACTCAGTATTATCAAGTTGAAAGTACATGTAATTATTCAGACATTCTCTTTTTTCATAAAATGGTCTAGGCAGATTTTCCTGACTTCAGACTTTTTCTTTAACAAATCCACCCTATCTTTTCTCCTCTCACCTAAATCAAACATAAAGATACCCATATATTATCCGTATTTAATTGTGCCTGGATGTTGACATTTATTTGCCTTTTTGTGTTCAGTCATAACTAGGACGATATTGTATTTTACAAACATTCCAGCATTGAACTCAGTGAAATAAACTGCATGATAAATCACAAACCTCTCGAAGACCTGGGACATTCCTCAATTTATTACAATTATGTACACAAAACAATTTTGCGAAGAAAACACTTTGCCTTCTCTTACTTTATTGCTAGTGCAAATGGTTGTTTTACAGAAAGAACTGAATGTTCAAAGTAATCTGTATTTTTTAATCCATTTCAGTCAATAGCTTGGAAATGTTGTTTTCTGTTTTATGCTGTAATCAGAATTCCGTTGTAACAAATAATTTAAACATCGTTACTATGCGTATCCTAACTGGATTCCTTTGTTGCTTTCATTTGGACACTCTTGTAATTGTGAGGGAGCTATAGACGAAGTTTTCTTTTTACACAGCTTTGTATGCAACAGTGTTCTTAACCTTGTGACAAGCAAACACATGAAGTATAAAAAAGGAAGAATTAGCAGCAAAATGCCAAGCATGAATAATGCTGTTTGTGGCATGTTGTCCCAGTTCAGCTGAGTATAAACCACATGACCAGTGGTTTTCTGGTAAATCACAGAAAAAATCAGATATACTATGCCATACAGCAATGGATGAAAGACATGGAGCATGCGCATTGGTTTTGCGCAGACGATGACGTTTGCACTGACGTAGACTGTGTTCATGGCGTGAACTAGAATGCTATTGGGACTGGTATCTGAAATTAATTATAGCAAATGTTACATTCCTTTAGTTTCCATATAAGTAACATCTCTTTCCAGCATATTTCTATTTATTGTTAATCACATGCAAGTTTGAAAACCATGGCTTTGTATCTAGATGAAGAGTATGATAATGTTCATGTTATTTACAGTTGCGTCTAGTGAATATTCTGAACATTAGTTGCATGGTCACTAAATGAATAATTTACTTTTTTCTTCATTCATATAATTTGGAAATAAATACCATACTAGGGTATCACTCACCATTTGGAATAAATAAGTAAAACAGAATGGTTATCACCAGTGCTATCGGGGTGTTCACGTTAAACTGCACCCAAACTGCCTTCAAGTACCATGGCATCGCTTTGCATTCTAGAAAGATGACAGTAAATTGTGGTTGTGAAAATATTGTACATAGATCGAAGGGTTGATAACCAATGGAAACAGTCGTTTGATGGTGAAACGCAGGTTAACTGCATTTAGGTAACATACTCAGTATTAAGACTTTTGTACCGGTAATTGTAATAATTTTCACATTGATTCCAGGAAGTGCATGATTATTGTTTGTATTTTTTAAGGACAAAGCTATAGGAAATTGAAAGAATATGTCATAGAAACATGTAAATTACATGTTTATTTTTATAGCAAAAACATTATTACATGTACAGCCATCACGGGTTACAGTTACCCTTATTCTTGAATTCTCTCCAAATCTATGAAAACTTCCGTATCTGTATGAATATTTTAAAAAGAAATCATTTAAATAAAATGATATCCCTCAGAAATCTTCGTATAGATGTTCTGAATATTGATATATTTCATGTATTTATGATTGATTAAAATTGTTATGTGATCACGTATACTGATTTCAAATACACACGTACCTCCTCTGATGATATCTTGTCGCCGAATGTGAACATAAATGGCTGCCACACTGTCCCATAATGTGAACACACACAGAGTGGTGTACCCCCAGTATGTAAGATAGGAGAACCACTTCAGGTCAAAGTCATAGTTCCTGTAGAAGTAAGGCTGGAGTCCTAGTCCGAGTACATGTAGGATCGCCCAACACACGGACCAAACAATGAACAGGACAGAGGGGCCATACTGAAAAGGGGATGCCATGATTAAATACAAGATTTAGACAATCTACGTATTCCTATCAAATTTGTAATATTAAAAATGTCAATGAGAGCCTCTTTGGACATATATATGTAGATCGCTCTTGAGAGACCAGATAATGTAATTAATGAATAACATTTTCCTATCTGTGTAACTTTCGTATAGTCTGCCCAGCTGTGGTCAGTCGGAATACCTAGCTTTAATAGTTAAATAACCAGAAAATAAAATTAGACCCCCTCCAAAGAAAAGAGAATCCTTTGAATACATGGTAATATTCATATGCAGGATCATAATATGATTATACATGTGTATGTAAGGATACATGTAAATGTATATTGACGTAAATTATTATACACGCTAGATGTGCAATACTTTATAAACTTTAGGGTATATTATCAAATGAGATCGTCTCGTGGTTTAATGTAAACTTTTCAAAATGATCATTAGGTGATAGTCGAATGGAAATCTTAAAGACACTCCACCATAAAACAAACTTCAGACTTCACATTAGCATACCACGCGTTGAAGTCCATGAAACTCTTTAAGTAAGAAAACATTTTCCAAATAAAGATTTATGGTCCATGTGTGTTTTGAAACTTTACTTTGCAGTTAATCTGTTGGTTTTTACTTAGTGGTTTAACTTTAGAAATATAATTATGTTTTAAAAACTTGAAACTTAATTTGCTAAAAACTCTGTACTTTACCTTTTCAAAGTGATCATGTCAATATTTCCCAGGTAAAACTGAAGAATTCACAAGTACTGAATTTAAGGGTTTTAAAATAAAAATCAATATAAAACCAGTACCTTTTAATATTTTTCTTTAACTTTAATGGTAAGGATGGGAACAAATAATAAAGAATTAGAACAAAAAGAAAAAAAAAGAAAAGAGAAGACCTAAAGAACAACTGAGTATTTCTTTTTAGGTTTCTAATATATTAAATCTATTAATCAATGAATTTAAGATTCAATTGTCGTTAACTGATGAACACGATGTACACTACATGATTGTATTGATGTGGGTACATATACATGTAAGTGCGAAATTGTGTGTGAGAAATATAAATTTATTTCACAAGCATCCGGTACATTTAAATTCACTGAGTACAAATATATATATACATGTAATATACACTGTATACATATAGGATGCGTAATCATGCTATAATACAATCACCAAAGAGTGTACTGATACTTTCATATAGATATAGAGAATAATGTTACATGTATTTTAATTAATAAACCTCTCCCCCGAAATCTTCCTTTTTAAAAAGCAAGTAAAATAGCTTTTGTATTTATGGTCTGAAATTTATAGTCTGTATCTATTCCTACAGAATGTATATTTTGTAACATTTATTGCAATAGCACATATATACAATGATTTTAGCATAAAGAAAAATATACATTGTATCTATCATCAATTCCATCTATTTTAATAATTATATTAATTATGTTGTCAAAATATTCGAAAAGTACGACTTGATTTATCTAGATTAACGATAATCCGATTATTTAAAAACAACTACATTAATTTACATTTATTCGAAGAATTAATCAACAACCACTAACTGTTCATTAAAGTTTATCCATGAATAATCCATTCTTGATTTTAAAAGAAAATGAGAGAGAGAGAGAGAGAGAGAGAGAGAGAGAGAGAGAGAGAGAGAGAGAGAGAGAAGTATTATTAATTCTAGTAGTAGATGTAAAACAAAACAATTATTAAATGACATTTTGTTAATGTTTACCTTGAGAGGTTTTTCACTTCCTAGAAACTTTTTTGATTTTGATAACTTACCTGTAATTTTACAAAATCAACGGGGTATTCATATTCTAAACGAAAATTTTCCCGGCTAAATTCCTTCTTGACTCTCTTTAAACAAGATACTAAGCGGCGAGTGTCGTCCGGCTCTCGTGTCATAACGTTGACCAAATGCCATCCTTATAGACCCAATGCCAGTCATTTTATGCATTGATATATACTTTTCCTAAGTTGCAGTTATAATATTTTCTCTTGTCTTCACTTTTAAATCTTTGACCAAATACTTCATGTATTGACTTGGAATATTTAGGTTTAACGTTTGTGTCCATTTAAATTCTTTTTTCAACAAAGTTGTGCACGATACTGTAGCTTTACATTTTAAAATTGATTGTTTGCCAATCACAAGTTTTAATACGATATGAATAAATGGAACAAAGCGTTGTTGGTTGTTTGGCACCATTTTTCATCCGTAATACTTTGGGGATCCTCAGTTATAATCAGATTAGAGATACTACCTAACTATTCGAAATCTCTTGTAATGTAAATATTCATTCAACATTCAAACTTTAAAAACATTCACTTTCGTTTTCTTCTTGTCTGTCATAATATTTAACCCTTTTAGACTATGGTAGACATAAATTATATGATCTTTGAATATACATATACATGTATATTCATATTTATATTTTTTTGTGCTTCATCAAGGATGATTAAATATAGCAAAATTTTTGAAATAACGTTTACACGGTCCTTTATTTGAAGAATAATTCTCACTGCAATCATTTTCCTCCACACTGTATTAGGGTATTCTGTAGAACACGCAGTCTTGTCCGAAACTTTAAAAATTGAATTAAAATGGAACCTCCTCAAAAAATTACCCTTGTGTTATATAGAATTTAGTTTTCTACCCCCCTCCCCCAAACATATGGTAAAAATGTGAGAGAAAAAAAATCCAGCAAAGATCATGATTTAGCCTAGCAAAATGTTTTAAGTGGCTTTATTCGCTTTGTTATTAATGAATAAAAATTAAATTTTTGAATTTTTGTTTATGGTCTCGCAGAAAGTCCTTTTCATGCAATCAGCGTGCCATAGATTTAGTCCATTTGAAAAAAAAAAAATCAACAAAGTTAGTATTTGGTTCAGTGTACTAGTTTAACATATAGTATTTATCATCAAAATATGCTTCATGGAAAAACAAAATTCATGAAAAAGAATAATATTTCAGAAAAAAAAATATTTTCGAACAAATAAGGAAGGTTTTCATAAATTTGAAGATAGGCGAACAAGGCGAGCAAAATGCCTTTAGTGCGACAAACATGAAGGTGAAAAATTAAATCTAATTATAACAAAAATTTCTTTGATATTTCATCTAACACTTAAGTATACTTTATGTAAAATCTCCATAATTTGCAAAAATCTCAATGTTGAGGTGCTTCATAAAATCACCTTTTTCGCAGGGGCATACGTTTAAAAGATATTGACCATTTTTTTTAAAAAAACATTCTTTAAGAGGGCTGGGTGGTCGTGGCCATTTTTAGACTATATTGATCTCCTTTAGTAAAAGAGCTCCATATAAAGATATAATTTTAAAACTAAAATGTATGAATTTTTTCTTTGCCAAATGATAGTAGACAGCTTAAGATATCATATCTAAAAAAAATAAGTTATATCTGATGGTTAATTTGTTGACCCCCCCCCCCCAGCCTCCTTAAAAAGATATATTCTTTTACTTGAAATGGGCTGCTGTTTCCGTCACACATATTTCAACTTGAGCCCAATTACTTGAAAGGACAAGATTATTTTGGGCCCTTTTAAACCCTGTGAACTTCTGAAAATTCAAAGCTGCTTACTCTGAACCCTTTGTGAAATTAGTAAAACATGACGTAATATTCTTGCTATAGTCGATATTTATGACACCATTAATTGTGTCATTATTCCCGTATCCTATTTATTTCTTCACAAATGGCCTTAAATTTAATAAAGTGAACCCAGCTCTTTAATGTAATAAAATACCAGTTCTGTTTAAAGCAGCAGCACTTTCTAGAAACTACAAACAATTTATCACTTAAATTTTTAATTTGAATTAGGGTATGCATTTGCAATATCAAAATTTATGACCTCCATGCAGTACACATTATATGCTTATATCACGTGAATGTCAAAGTAGGTGATCAAACTAAATTCAATACAGTGTGTGGTTTACTATGTTATTTCAATTAATATTCAAGTAAAATAAATTCAGCTTAAAAGGATATCTATTTGTACACTTCTATATTATGTTGATTTCATCATAGTACGCCTAACAGTGCATGCTGCAAAAATAAGTTTAGATGGAAATCATCAAAATTTCAAATTAGTATACATATAACTTAAATTATAAACTAGATTTTCATTATTATTTTCATTATGTGTTTGTAGTTCATGAGTATGCAATCTTTTAAACATACCTGTATCATAAAAATCAAGATATTTGAAGTCTTAATTTTCTGTTACTCAGTTTATGGTCTTGGAGCCTGAATTTTTCGTCAACAAAATACCGACAAGTTAGTTTTCAAGGAGATAAGTATTACAAATTACAAACTTGACTTTTTCACTTATGCCTTGACTTCCCGCATTTAAAATCTAAATCTAAGACGTACCTAAATACAATGTAGTATTACAGGAACATATTAAAAAAATCTATATCTCCACCTGAAAACCTCTACTCTAAGCATTCTAAATAAAAAAATTAAATTAAATCAAATCAAATCAAATGTGTACTCATCGCCTGGTTTTCTGGGTGTCTGTTTCTTCTCACTATAGCTACAAATTCGTATGTACGAGTATACGATTTTTTATTTAAAAAAAGGTTTTTATAAGAAGATCGTCACATTCAACTGCAACCACACTGAGTCTCGATTTCATAACTTCTATTTGCATCACGCAAATGAAACCAAAGACTCATGCCAAAGAAAGAACGATGTAAATGTTACAACAAGTTTGGCTTTCCAGAAAGTCTGAAATGTCATCTCTTTGGCTTCATTAATGTCAAAGAATAAACAGTGGAATGTTGTTGTATTATTTTCTCAGTTATTACAGCCAGTAGTATCGCTTTTGAAAAAAATGGGGGGGGGGGTGGAGGACAAAAAAAATTATAGACGATTTATCTGAACAATCTTTGAAAAGGGGAAAAAGGGGCTATCCAAACTCAATATTTTCATTTCTTGGAAGGAGGGATTACAACTTTTCCGACAAACATATTTTATATTATAATACATTCTCATGGGATGATTTGACGTACCATGCTGCAACAAAAGGTGGAAGAGGGGTCAAGGGTGCGCCTTTTCAACGTTTGGGGTAAAAAGTGGAAGGGGACGGCCCTCCTGGTGCTATGTGCCTGTAATATTTTGCCTGTTGTAAATATGCTTTATTCAGTTTAAATATATTTTGTATAATGTCTGTAAAAAATTCTAACCACTGAGAAATATGCGTAAGAATTATTTAAAGTCATGTATTGCGTTTTTTTTTTATAAGTTCAGACTACCTAAATTAAAAAAGATCTATCTATTTGTTTTATTACTTATATAAAAATAGGACTTTCCTGTAAATTACACAGTTTAAATCAATCACGTTTCAAAGATATTAGAAATTTAAAACAAAAACCGATTTATTTACCGATTCAGATTTTAATCAACAGACACAGTTTAATTTTTTTTTAATCAGTCGAACTATGGAAATATGAGGTTATTCAAGTTCAAAATCGGTGAAAAATTTAATTTCAACGTAAATAACATATATCATGTTTAGCTACTCCCAATCTCGTTTTTTTTTTTTTTTTTTTTTTAGCTCAGATACGCCATATATATAGCTTTAACAATTATTCCGAAAGAAGATGGATAAAAACTAAGCTATAGCTTCCTTTTGACTTTAGTTCTTAGCCTCCTACTACGGCAGCAAAGAAGTTTTAAAGCGCCAACTTAAATCAATCTGAACCCGAATTAATTCCCAAGACTTTCCTTATTTTCCTTAATCGTATCCTCTGAAGTGACTTGACCAGCGAGCCACTGGGATTTGATTGATTATCGAGCCACTGGGAATATCAAGGGAAAAATTGAAAAACTCCTGCATCATGTCCTTCTGCTGCCCATGCAGATTCATGTTCTAACGCTATATTATGTATAATATAAGGACATGTACATGTATACCCTCCTGGGAAAAAATCATGCATAGAAAGGTAATAAAATTGAAACGTTACCATCTTATACTTATAAATTAATAAATTTTGCAAATAAACTCCGAAACGGGTGCACCAGAGTTCTTACTTACTCCTCTAACAATACGCTAGGTACAAGCTGATGTCCGTAAACTATATTTAGATTTCACTCGCATAGTAAATATCGTACATTAAATTAAAAGTCTACTTTCATTTTCTATAAACAGCCATGAAATAGCTAAAACGTGAGTACGGTGGCGTTTCCGGTTGGCGGATCTAAGTTACTGGCAATTTTTAATGAAACTGACAACAAGCAATCGTTTATTTATTACAGAAAACGTCATCACTGAATTATTCAATCAAAACTCGATTTAAATCATATAAAAGAAATAAGTTGTGATAACCGATTAAAAAAGGAAATGTGCAAAATATTTTCGTCATTCACCGATCTTTATATTGACGGAAGCTTCTAGAACATCATATAGCATCGAGCCCGATGTTAAGAAAAAAACGAGGCGATTATAGCTACATGACCATAAAAAAGCTTTTGTGTAAATGGTCATAATTGAAATAATGGTAAATCACTGATAACACTATAAGTTGTGAATATAATTATATATACATATATATACATATACATGTATGTAGTAGGTTTTCCTAATTTATTAATCGGTAAAATTTGTACATATTCCATACTGAGAGCATCGTGGCAACGAACCCGAAGTACAATTTGTACTTCGTAATAAACTTGCTTACATGAAAAGAGAAAATTAATGAATAAGGTATTGTTCAAATACAATTAAAGATGTAAGATTTTGCGCTTTAATCAATGCACAGTTTATTTCTGAATGCAATCTTTTATAGCTGCAATAATGTAGCCCTCTCCTTTTTTGAGGGGGGGGGGGGGCAGAGAGAAAGGCCAGAAAATATCAGATCAAAAAAAAAAAAAAAAAAAAAAAAAAAAAAAATCGGAGAGGGCTACATTATTGCAGCTTAGTCTTTTGTATCATATACTCAGCCTATTCATAGGGAGCTAAAAGCTAATTTTTACACAGGTACTTGGTTCTTGGTTTATAAATATGTATGTACCTTATTGATAGGTAAAAAAGTAAAGTACATTTTTACATATCAATAAGGTACAAACATATTCATAAACCAAGACCCAAGTACCTGTGAATTTTTACCCCCCTCCCCCCCCCAATCAATTTATTAGTAAAATGTGCATATTCGTTGCTTTTATCCTTGACGGAAATAAAATAATTAAGAGCATCAGAAGTACAATATCCATAACACAGTATAACAGGTTTCACAAAAAACGTCAATTAATGAAATTGCTATTTTTCAAGTTAAAAAAAAATAAAACAAAACAAACACAAAAAAGGGGGTTGGGGGGGGATAGGTAAATCTTCTTCATGCAGGATTTGAACAAAGTATTTGTTCCTGCTATAAGCCTGTAAGCTGTCAGTAGAGAACTACAATATATTTTCTGTTGGTAGTCGTATAAATTCAATTCCCCGCGCTTGCGCGGGATTTCATCTAGTTTAAAATTAAAGTGACAGTACGGCGCATCTCATCAAAAAACTGACTAGATAAAATTTTCCGACAAGATTTGGAATTTTTTTACTACTCATAAATGTATAAGCTTTCAGAAAATTACAACTTTTACAATTAAATAATTTGGATTATTTCATTAAAATTAATAGTTATTTATGGGACGTAAATATATACATCGCAACGTGTTCGGGGTTCCACATTCCATGCTATGCACGCATGCGTAGTTTTCATAAACAAAACAGCATGGTTAGAGAGGGAATCCCGGTAGGCTCGGGTAGGCCTGCTACATTGACAAAGTCGACTAAAAATAAAAAGAAACTGAAAATAGAACTTGAAAAAGCAACTTTCCTGACTAAACTTTAGTTTGGGGATTAATATAATCGCTGGATAAGGAAGAAACGGGAACTCGGCGACACTCATGCAGGGCTCTCGAAGGTTCTATTCGACAGGTTTGTTGATACTTGTTATCATTTCTCATTTTTCCGTCGCTTTCAAAGAAAAACAATAGTGTAAACTCAACATAAAAAATACATCTTTGACTTATAAAAATTGTTGCCATTTGAAATGCTAACTTTTCTTAACTGTGCAGAAAAATATTTTGTTTGACATTTGCCGCGATAACGTATGCATGGTATGATTAGTTGGTTTTTCCTTCCTCGCCTGAATGCAGACTAAAATCTTTACGATTATTATTTTAGATTGTTTTATCAGAAAGTTATGATAATTTGTGTTTTTTTAAAATTGCTTTCACCTAATATTCAATACAACTGTAAACTCTACAGTGTAGGCACGTGCCGTTTTAGAATTCACGTGGTGTGATGAAAAAGCACACATTTTGCTTCGCCCGTTATGCAAATTATCCCACGTTTCCAACCATCGTTGATGCCCTGGCATACTCTACTAACTAGACAGTGATTCCTTAAATAGAGGGAAAAATTACATGTATCTTCATAAAAAAGCAAAAGATTCGAATGGAAAAAAAGGAAAAATAAGATTTCTCAGCTTAGATAATTATAAGAAATGAAAGAGAATAGAAGTATCTTATAGGAATTCTTAGCAAAGACGTTTTCGCCATCGCACAGAAATAACGCTGCTTTAAATCTTGCCCCTTGTCTTGCTGAAAACTGGACGTCTTAATAAATAAACCTTTTATTTGAACATTTCAGAAAGGTATTATATCATTTTTTTGATCATGGGATATACAATGTAGATATGGAATGGTCACGTGATCAAATCCCATAGAGCCAATTGTTCATTTTCATATGTTTTGAATTCTAATTTTTTTTCCTAAATTATTGACATATTTGCTACATTTGGAACTTATTTGATTATCTTTAATTAAAAAAAAATATTAGCGCTAAAGATGACGTCACAATCCCATGCTAAATGCTTTGCTCATTCTCATTTTAAAAACTCCTCATAGGTAAAAAGAGTTGTCGAGTTGCAAAAGTACATTTTTACGAACTTTAATTTTCCATATTTCCTATGAAATAAAATTTTTAATTTTTATAATAATGGTGAAAATTTTAACAAAAAGAAACCGCCTTTCTCTGATAGGTATATTGCTTTTCTGTCAAAATATACAGGTTCATATCCACTTAAAACTTCATGTACTTGTACATTAGTATCTTGTTTTTGACCTTTGTCTTCCAATTCACTGCGCATCTTTAGACGACATTTTACAAGTGGAAAATTGGTCAGCTGACATTTATATCATCAAGGAAGTCCAAAATATGTCGCTTTTGAAGACAGCATTTTCTTTTCTGTCGTGTTCTATAATTTTTACAAATTCTCAGTATATTTATATGAATACTGGTTTTTGGAATGAGGAGAGTAAGAACGAAGTTCTATACAGCAAGATCATGAGAGACGTCCAGGCAATTCTAATACAGCAGAATGAAATTTATATGAATGAGATCAACCGTCTTCAGCGTGAAATAAAACAACTTCGGAAAGATGGAATAGCCAAAGCAGGAAACAGCAGTCAATCACCATTGAAGTGTATGTATTTGATCGGTATTTTAAACTTCTGATTAGGTGTAATTTTGTATATATACATGTATTAACATAATGATATAGGAAATCCTAATATTTGTTTTCAGATTTAAACCTTTCAAAAAAAAAAAAAAAAAAAAAAAAAAAAAAAAAAGAAGTTTGCTATTTTAATCGTTTAAATATTTTGTTTCGTTTGGTTTTGTATTGTTGGTCTAATTATAAATTATAATGACTATTTAATTTTATTTCTTTTTTTTATTTGTATTTTGATTGTTTATTTGTTCTTTTGTTTAATTAAGTTATGTTTAAATTGATTTTTTTCCTTTTATTTTTGTTTTTTCCCTGTTCTACGTTTTTTTTCAAGAAGTCCATTCAGCCATTCGATAAAGAGAAAGTAATGATCTTACAAATGTAATATGTATCACTCCAGAAGCAATACTTTGAAATTACACATTTATCCCGTCGGCATTCACGTAATGTACCCTCTAACAGAAAAAAAAATCTTTGTCTACATTAACTACTGTAACTAAAAAGCACCGAGAATCTAACAAAACCCTGACGAAGTACTGAGTTGTACTGAGAAAACCCTGAGTGGTACTGAACCTGGTACTGAGTAAACTGAGGTAGTCCTGAGTAGCACTGAGGTTTTCACTGTGGACACTTAGGACATACTGAGAGGCACTGAGGTTTACTCTGTTGGTACTGAGGGGGTACTGAGGGATACTGAGGTGGCTCTGAGGGAACTGAGCTGATACTGAGTAGCCCTGAGGTTTAAAACTGTGGATACTGAGGTAATCCTGAGTGACACTGAGGCTATTTGTTTCAAAAATTACTATTTTCTTTTGAGTTTTATTGTAATATAATGGTCAAATTTCTTTATTTTAAACTCTCCTTAAATCAAAATGTGTAGGTACAAGTATTTTGAAACCTAATATCAACAATTAAACTGGAATTGTTTTTGCTTCTCATTCATTGAATTAAATAAATTATTTGCTTTTGGAATTTTAAAGGGATATTTAATTAAGTGTTCTATGCATATATTTTTTGAAATATGATATCAGATTTATTTGTCTTTGATATCAACCAATTAGTTAATTATTTGTGAAATTTCTTTTCTTTTTCTTTTTTTAAATTTATTTAACCAATATTAAACATCATGATAAATAGTTTGTATTGTCCAATAATTCTCAATCCACACCTGAATGTTTAGAGTGAGTTACGATTCTTCTGTGCAAATACAGGAGTCCTTAATGTCAGGATAATGGTAATGTTTCAAACATATTCTATTGCACGGCACACATAAAAATTTTGATGAACATGTTGCATCCTTTCCTTGTAAAACATAATGTCAGTTAAAAGTTACAACGATTCTCAAACATCTTTTACTTGAAAGTTGTTCGTTTCTGGTGATCAATATCATAAAATAAATAATAAATAGATAAAATATAATTAAGTGAATAAATAAAAAATTAAAACAAAAACTTTTTAGATGATCTTTAATTAATTAAATCAGATATATATATAAAGAGAGAGAGAGAAATAAAGCGGTGATATGTCACAACTTAACTTAACAACTTATCAAAATAAATTTTACTGTATATCAAAATTATATGAAATAGATGTATTTTGACTGATATTAATCATTTATTGCATATTTTTAATGCTATTACTATTATCAATATTTAAGCTGTTGGTGCGACATCTTAAAAAGAAATATTTCGAATTTCAAAATCATATCCCATATCTCATTGCATTGTCATGTTGTTAATTTATCTGGTCAATAAGTAAAAGTAGCTGTCACTTTGTAAATTTTGTATTTACTGTCACTCGGTTAATTTAAAATTTTACAACATGCATGAAAACATTTGAATTTTTTTTTTTTTTTTTTACCTATCGCGAATTATGAAAATTATTTTGAAAATGAACATGGGGGGATAACTGAAAGTTTTGTTATATGTGTTTGTTATTAATTAAAATGAACACCGACAGCAGTAAATAATACCGATAAGTTTTGTTTTATGCTCAGGTGAGAAAAAGTTTGCTGATTGTTTCAGCACACACGCAAATAAAAGTAGAAGAAAGTAGTTAGAATCATTTATAACACAAAAAATTTAAATTAAATTTGCGATACATTAATAATTTTTTTCTTGATAATCCAAGTTGGGAGTTTCAAGATAAATTCTAACCGGTTTAATTTTAGTTTTATCTCTACTAATCCGATCAGTTACAAACAAATATCTAAAATACAGTGTGCTTGATTAATTAGAAGTTTTCAGTAAGCGATAAACATTATCCAACCTCTCAGGGTCCCCTTACAGAATAAAGAAATCAACTGAAATAATTAGAAAGAAAGAAAAACTAATATATTTGAAAATTCATTTTGATGAAAATGGAGAATATTTAATGTTTAACTTTGATTTCCGTAAAGCAAGAAATAAGTACAGTTTTCTTAGTCAGATAATATGTAAAATTCAATGTTTTCTGATCTGATCTGCAATAATTTCTATACAATATACTTTACACTTTTGTTAATATGACAGTTGCAATGTTTCCGTTTTCTCAACAGAGCTTTCTAAATATCCTGTTATTGCAATAGTCATAATAATAAACATGTCACCATAAAGAAAAAAGAAGGAGAAAAAAAAAAAAAAGGACACGAGGCTTGTATTGCCTTTCATGTTAAATCAAGTATATAGTATAATTAAGTGTTTGGAATTAATGTGTTGTAATTATGAATTTCTCTTCAACATCGTTTACATGTACGATGTACTTAAAAAATACGGCAAAATTTTAGTAAATTTATTTTCTCTCCATTCAGGAAAGGTCGTGTGATTCGCTGTTCTATACGGTCGGATGTCTCCATAAATTCCAGACATCGGGAACGAGCATCAAAATACTTTATTTTCAGCAATGGTTTTGTTTAGAATGTTAACAGGCGATAGTTAATGGCACATCAACTTTTTTTTCTAAGTGGTTACTGTCACAGATAGTAGTACTTATTCTTGAACTAGTATTAAATATCGGTATATGGACAGTTTAATGGAAATAGAAAACCATGTAGTATAAGAATGACAAAACAATTAGAAAATACAAATTACATAGTAGTTTCATGCAGTCCTACATGTATAACCACCTGGGATTCACGACACCTTTCACTAAAAGACTGGAAAGAAAATAAGCATGTCACCGTAAAAGTAATTTTTTTATGGCCAGGTTATTGGCAAGCAAATATTGCTGCTTTTTAAAATAATATTTATTTATTTAGATAAAATGGTTCTCGAAAATAAATGAATAATAAGTGGTAATTTAAAATAAAAATGTCCCTGTACATCTGTATATTTCAGTAAGTAAGTAAACAAGCACCTAATTCCATGCTTGCGGACAACCACATGTTAAATATGTTAAAGCCAGGTATGCATGTGACCTTGACATGTTCTAATTCATGCCGATGAAATAAGTAAAGAAAATCATGTACATGTATGTAAAGCATAAATATATTGTTTTATTTTTGACAGTTCCCTATTATCTACACTGTAACTGGCCTTATGAACAGGTATCTAAAAACCACACTGTTATATTTGATTTCCGTATCACTTTCAATTTTTACATTGTACAGAGTGGTAGAAGGAAAATATTCAAATTCTGTGACATCTCTACAAAGTAACAAATGAATTAATTGACCGTAAGAAGTAACGCGCATACATTTACATGTAAGTTGTATATACTGTTTATTATATCTCATAAAACATAAAATAACTACCGGTATTATACAGTGAACTGGGGTGGGGGGTGGGGGGCACTGCATGATTGACGGGTCTGCATACAGTGTATAACATGCGCGGCCTAATAAAAGTTTAATGCACAAAGATATTTCTTATTCACAGAAAATTTACGTTACACGTATCAATTTTAACATGTGTTACAGTCGAGGAGAAACAGTGACGAATTATCATGTACATTCACATTCACAGCCCGACTTTAATACATGTAGAGCCTTTTTGGTCATCGAGCTGTCATATATTTACAGGCTCCTTTAATTGGCGAATGCTTTAAAAAGAATTCTGTATCTATCCGTTTTATGCATAATTGTCACAGAAATACTAACGACGATGGGAGTTTGCCATTAATTCAAGTGTCTACTCTTCAATTAATTAATTACATGTATAATGCTGACAATCTAATGCAAGCCAATGTGTACGTAGTGCTAAGAGGGGGAAGGGGGTATTTTCCTATATAATGTTCATAAACTGGAAACCCATTTTCTTAACTGTGATGAAGGAATTAAATCTTGCATGTACGGAATTGCGATGTACACTGTGCATGTATCTGTCAATTTACTTTTGTTCATTTTTTTGTTTATCATGCTGGAATTATCATTTTTACGTTGATGTACATGTATATGTTTCATGCCTCTTATGATAGAGATGCTATAATAAGTTTTACTAAAGCTATTCAACGCTTTAATTTCCAGTATTTATTTTTCATGCAAAGGTGAGAACAATTTCATGCAAGATGTGAGAAATAAAAAAGACATAGATTAAATGCATTTTGGCAAAGACCACAGACGTAGTTGCAAGTTAAATCATGCAACCCCCCCCCCCCCCCCACACACACACACACACACCCGTCTTTCTCCAATGAGATAAATCATTTTAATTTATACTAAATAAAAGAATTGATGAATTTAAATATAATTCCATCAGACTGATTTTAAACTTACTGATCATTTATAAATATTCTGTCAGGGCATTAATCCTTGCTATCTGTGTGATTGTTTTTTCTTGGGTAGTTTCACTTGACTTCAGTTCTGAACATTTAAAGTACGTGTCTGCGTGCGTAATTTTTATTAAAAAAATCTTCCTAAGCATTCTAATTCTATATAACCACAAATATTTCGTTTAATTGTGGATTTTTTTTTCTCTATTTAAGAATCTGGGGGGATAAGACGAGCCATGTGCCCATGCCCGTTTTTCGACTATGCAATAACATTTATTGAAAAAAATCTCTCAATTGTTCGAATTTACTTAAGCATTTTAATGTTTACCGTAGTTTTCAAAATGATATTTATATTCTAAACAAGCTAAACAGTTGACTTTCATTTACTGTCACAAATGTCTAACATGGGTAAGGACTTCTATTAATTAATCTGCATATTGAGTGTTTACACTTATTGTGGAGATATTATAAAAATACTAACATCGTATGTAATGATAATGGTGATCTAGAAGCGCTTTTATTTAAAGTAAATAAAAACGGGAATAAAAGTATTCAAATATCTATTATAATTTTATCCGGCATTTTAAATAATTTACTGTAAATAAGTTCATTGCTACATGTATATATTTTATTTCCAGTGAAAAATATGTTATTCCTATAGACATTTTTTATGAAGTAAAACAAAATTAAAACAAAAAAAAAGTCAAAAAATCAGAGCATGACTCGATCACTTTCCTCAATAAACGTCCCTTTAAAGAGCTCCTCGCTAACCACTAGACCACGGAGTCACACTTACATGTCTATTTAAATAGCATGCAGTTCTCTATATTTAGCAAGCGTTTTTGGACTTAGAATTTTTTAAGACCACGGTGAAAATTTAAGTAAGTTAACTTAATTTTTTATGTAGAGTGGGTCTTCATACCAAATTTTTGCAAGTGAAAAAAGCAACATCTTTCCATTGCCTTTCATTAATCGTTCTCAAAAAAATGGTACGATGACCCACTCTATTTAAAAAATGTAGTTATATCATCCAAATTATGTCAGTTTCTGTGAAAATTGAGCGTGATGCCATTTTGTTGTGTTAATCAGAATCATTTTCGCTGTTACAGTATTCAGGTTTTGTCAAATTTGTATGCAAATGGTAATAAGCATTACATTAATTCAACAAAAAGTGAAATTTTTGTAAAATGAATTTATTGATTTTTTATCGATCGTTTTGTAGGCATATGGCTCGGCTTATCCCCCCAGTTTCTTTTTAATTATTGAATATTGCAGTCATCTTATAAAATATCATTGTAGAAAAATTAAAAACGACTATGAACTTCACAATGCCTCAAATCGCCTAGAATTGACAGGTAGGATCAATTCAGAGAAATGGCTACCTCGGAAGTCAGCTTGTAAATTCTGTGTACACTTTGAATTTCTATGTTGCGTAATTACATGTAAATAACCCCTGTCTTTGTGTATTTTAGGCGACACCTATATAGCCCTTTCCCTGCTACCGTGCATCACTGACTGTCCGTTAGCTTATTTCCGGCTGCGTTCGGCACCCGGAAAGAATTAAACTACTTTAGTTAACTCATTACTTTACTTTAATCTTTGTCCCCAACTTTCAGCGCCCTTAAAATGAAGCTGCTTAAATCATTGTTTTCATTATAAAAAGGAATTTTAGTAGAAGTATTTTTAAATCATTTGTATAATTTTATGCCGAAGAAACATTTAAATTTTACGCAAACTTTGAATGCAAATTATCAAGTAAATCAGATTTGTTGTAATTACGATAACTTACATCCCCCCTCCGAGGCCTTTTACTATATATTAATCTTACTGGAAAAGATTTTTTAAATTAAAACTTAACTGAAACATGATATTGGATAGTGTTAAACAATTTTCATGGTATAATTGTAATATGTAGATGCCATGTTATTACCATTCACATACCCAGCACTTTAGATATTTTGTAACACTTGCCACTCAAAATAGGAGCCATGTTAAACTATTATTTTTTAAGTGTGCACAAAAGTGTATTAGTTTTTTGGTAGCTGCTTACTTCTTTTATTTCTTGACATTGAATCCCTTTTCACAATTTCAGATTTTATTTAAAATTTCATGATAATAATCCTCTACATTTTCTTGAATATTTGTTCGCTGCATTTTATTTCCGGAATTTTACACTGCTTTTACGGCAATTGTTATTTTCATTTCTTTCCAGAAATTTATGTGGGAATAAACTTTAACAAAAAGTAAATATTACCTTAAAAAAATAATTTTACACTTATTTTCAACCATGTTTTCCGAATAAAAATATTACAATACACGATATATAAATGCAGCCTAATTAAAGGTTTTGCTTGAGTTAAATAAACACGCGGTTTTCCCCAACTAAACTCAATGTCAACCGAATAACATGTGTCAAAATTATATTGGATATTGATGATTTAGTCTATAAAGTCTTTTATTCTGCTTTTATTGCCAGGAAGGTACTTTATAATTAAAGTCGGAGAAATTAACTTTAAAATGTCGGAAATGAAACCATTAATATTTTAGAGGATTCATTCCATTTTTTCACTTTAAATATTCAGATACTTCTGAGGAATAGATATTCAAATCACATGTAATACAATTCCTCTATTTTTAATAAGGAAATGCAAAACCTAGACATGGTTAGATCACTTGATTCTTAATAATTGATGTTTTTATTTAAGGAAATTATTATTTTCAATAGTCTACTTAAATCTAAATTGAAATAATACTACAACACAATCTTAAAAAAAAAAACTAAGACCTCAGAGTGTCTCAGGATTACTTCAGTAGCCACAGTATTAGACCTCAGGGCTACTCAGTATCAGCTCAGTTCCCTCAGAGCCACCTCAGTATCCCACAGTACCAACAGAGTAAACCTCAGTGCCTCTCAGTATGTCCTCAGTGTCCACAGTGAAAACCTCAGTGCTACTCAGGACTACCTCAGTTTACTCAGTACCAGACTCAGTACCACTCAGGGTTTTCTCAGTACAACGTAGTGATATATATATATATATATATATATATATATATATAGAGAGAGAGAGAGAGAGAGAGAGAGAGAGAGAGAGGACTCCAAAGTCGGATGGTCTCGCCAAAGTCCGATGGTCTGCGCCAAACCCCGATGGTTTGACGTCGGTATGGACGCCAAAGTTCGATGGTCACGCTAAAGTCCGATGGCTCGTTTCCTGTGATACACATGCGCTAAAGTGCGATGGTCTGACACGCCAAAGTCCGATGGTGCGGAGAAACAATAAACGTTTATGACCTTACAATATTCCGACGTCAATCCTCGACACCATAGTCCGTAATTCAAAATCAATAATTTAGGATGAGTCATCGAATACAATTTAACTAATTTTACTTGGTGTTTGCACTCATCTGAGTTAATAGGATTAGTCCTTGCACATCACTTGGCTGATAAGGGTTAGTCCTTATGCACAATAACACTGATTATAGGATGGGTTGCACCCACCCAATACATTTAGGGTTAATCCTTGTACACTATTCGATTGAATAGTTTTAGTATCGCACCCCAAAAAAGGTTTGACTGATAATGGTTAGTTTCTCTCCCATCCAGGATATGTTACAGACTTTTTGACCGATTAGGCTTAGCTCGCACACATCTAAGAGATAAGGGTCAGCATCGCACCCATCCGAAAGATTAGGGTAAGCATCGCACCCATCCGAGAGGTAAGGGTTAGCCTTGCACCCTTTAGAGAGAATAGGGTTAGCCTCGCACACATCCGAGAGGTAAGGGTCAGCCTAGCAACCACTTAAGAAATTATGGCTAGTGGTACAATATATTTTTGCGTTTTTTAGTGAACCGTATTACTTTGGCGTTTAAATACTTAAAATTCATTTAATTTATTTTAAACCGTTTTGCCTTGGCGTGGCGCGGCATCGCAATTTGGCGCAGAAGTACTATGACGTCATAAAAAATAATTAATTTTCTGCGCCATCGAACTTTGGCGTGTGAACCATCGGGGTTTTGCGCAGACTATCCGACTTTGGCGTGACCATCGGACATTGGAGTCCCATCGCACTTTGGAGTCCTTCATATATATATATATATATATATATATATATATATATATATATATATATATATATATATATATGTATATATATATATATATATATATATATGTATATATATATATATATATATATATATATATATATATATATATATATATATATATATATATATATATATATATATATATATAATTATTATCATTAGTTAAAGTTAATACAATTGAAGCTACGATTTGTCAGACACTGTGGAAATATATTACAAAGCTTAAGCCTGACAATTTTTATTGCCTTGTAGGAAAACAATACAATCAACTGTTTTTTAGTACAAAATAAGTCATGATTTTTTTTCATAGTTGAACATGCCTCCATCTCCAGATTTAATTACATAAATATCCACAGGTGAATCGGGTGTACTAGGAATTCACAAATCTCCTTCTCCTACCTGGCCATATACACAAGTAGTCAGCTTCCGTTCTCCATTTCGGGAAATACCAGCATTGACTTATGGTCTGTACCTACTCGATTCTTGGCATCGCACCAACCTTCGTGTGAATGCGATAGTGACGGATATCACCAATAGTGGATTTAATGTGAGGCTGCAGACATGGGCAGATACCACTTTATATGGAGCCAGTATTAGCTGGATGGCTTGTGGAGGATAAAAATACGTGTATCTTCGCTTACAAAATTTTTAGTTTTATGTAGCTTGTAGTGAAACATAGTTTTCAATGAATGATCTTATGTCCTTTTCAATTGTATAGAATAACAAAAGTGATAAAGGCTCAAAACAAAAAATTACATATAATCAAATTTAAATTCAATTTAATCTTTCCATTCCAGAGTCACAGCAAGTCGATATATTTTTTTTTACATGAAAGAGAGATTCTGTAGAGAACAGCTTTAAGTTTTAGTGTACGTTCGTTCGTTGTCTATGCATCTTTCTTGTTTTTTCCCATTTTCTCGTAATTTATTAACGAAACACTGGAATCTCATCCCAGTAACGATTTAAGTGTTAAAAAAAAGTGAATCATTAAGTACATACATGTATAGAAACACTTAGCCTTCATGAGAAGTACGCTGAAAAGGCTTCTGAAACATATACTTGAAGGCTGCAGTGCCGCGTTGTCGAATGATTGATATAAATGAAGCATAAATTTACCTAACATTATCTCCGTAGTTCATTTGTCTCCAATTACACATATTGCTTGGTTTGGGAAACATTGCTGCTAGAATCCAAATATATTTATAAGAAAATAATTATCTAACATTTATACGAAAAAAAATCCTTCCATCATGTACTGTAAGCATTTTGATCGGAGATTATATACATGTACATGTTCTCAGAGAACATCACTAAGCACACGATATTAACATCAATAACAATTTAGTGGAGTTTTATACTAAGTGTTATTGCAAAACTAAACTGTTCAAGTATATACGTGGTAAAGTGTTATACCACGCATATATGTAATCAAAGTACTGAAGATACTGATGGGAGTTGATTTTAAGGACGATTTCAAATAAAATTTTATGTTTTTAACCTTGTTTACAACTTTTCAAATAATCTGCAACATTATTGCTTCTTAATTTGGTATGCGAGTATCAAAAGACTAAAAAAAAATGTCACGAATCTATGGAGTCAAATAAGTAAGGCTTGTTTTGATTTGACCATAACTTTTGAACGATATGCCAAAACGTGTAAGACTTCTTCATTGCTCTAAATTTTTCAGTAGTTTAAGGTATTTTCCTTACCAAAAATTTGTTTAAAAGTGCCAGTGCGACTTTTTTGCGCCAGAATGCTATTCAAGTTGTTGATTCCGCTCATATAATCTTTAATTGAATAAATGATTTTTAAGTGTACGTTTGCATACGGGGTATATATCTCTCAGTTGATTCGATACGCAAGAGCATGCTCTACGTATGTACAATTTCTAAAACGAGGTAAATTATTGACAAATAAGTTGATGAAACAAGAATATCAGCTGTCTCGTTTAAAGTCATCATTTCGTAAGTTCTATGATCGATACAATGACCTTGTCAGCAAATACAATTTATTATTGAGTCAAATGCTGACTGACGTTTTTCATACTAATTGTTCGGCCATTATTTACACACTGAATTGTCGACGGATTTTTCCGTTATTTCCCGATCATGACAAGGAGCACACGGCGGGTGTGACCGGTCGGCAGGGGATGCTCACTCCTCCATGGCACCTGATCCCACCTCTGATGTTTGGAGGTCCGTGTTTGCTCTGCTCCTATTTTGTATTGTATAATGGACTTTTGAGCTTGAATACTGTTCGTTATCTCCATATATTTCATTTACATATAGAGAAATGGTGTACGTTTTGCTAGTTTGCATAGGCGCCATATTGTTTTCAATATGGCAGATTTTTGTTCAGTGCATAATAAAAGAAAAAAAGCATAGATTAAAAAATATCAATACGGATTAAGTTTTTCCTCACTTGATTCTATCTATTATTGTGTCCTGTATCGGAATGCAATCTTTCGTTTACAAAATTACAATGATATTCATGTAGAAAAAAATGTGATGAAAGAGCTTACAAGGTCTTTAATCAAGCAAATATATCAATATTTGTCGTTTTCCGATTTCATCCTCATCTTGCGTGAAGTTGTCAAACTTGCAATTTCAGTTTCTAAGATACATGTAATCAGATGTTGATTTTTTAAAAATGAAAATCCCATTTTAGACAGAATTCAGAAAAAATGAACAACACTCCCAGTGGGGAAAATGCAGGCTTTTTGTTATTTTTTTTTTTACCTGAGAAAATATTGAACTTCATTATTGTTATACGATGAGATAAGTACTTATGTTTCATTATGAAAAGATTGATATTTCTTTTTTTGAAAAATATCACAAAAATAATGAATATTCATTGGCAACGGTCACACTGTCATTAATTCATGAATAAGGTGTACAACATTTAACCATGTGATGTACAGTGCTCTGACCAAAGTTGAATTACGACAAATACCATCTATATTGGTGATGAGAAAATGTATGGAGCAACATGTATACCAGAAATAGAGATTCTTTCTAAATTTATGCCCTCTTTCCAGATTTTTATTGTTTTATAGATTTTTTTGAGATCAATCACTGCCTGTTATCTTCATCTTTTTCATAGTGACTTGGATTCACAATATACATCTTCAGTCTTGTAAGGGTGGAAAAGACTTACCAGATTTTCAAGTCTATACCAATAGCTTACCTTAATTTGATCTTACAATGTCGAAGTGTAGGGGAAATCTACCAAATTCAGATAGTACAGCAAAACTAGTTGCGTATTTACATGTATGTACCCCAAGTTTTAATTTGCAAAATTTCAGTTTATCACAGAATGATTTGGATAACATCCTGTTTATTGTACCGCCAGGGATGCTATTTTTTTTTTTAGTAAATGGATTAAGATAAACCCAAATTTGAAATGCATACAATAATTAAAATAGGGTTAATTGAATGATCAAAAAAGTGAACAGTGGTTTTAATGTCTAAATTTATTATAACTATGAATTTTTTTCTTCCTTTTTTTAAAATTAATTAATTAATTTATTGTTTTTGATAAAGTTAATATACTTCGAGCGATAGATAAGAGCATGAGAAATGATACACTTTCGTAATTGTATTTAGATACACTATATGACATAACAGTGTATTTACATATAAAAAAAATTTCGTTTGTTTACAAATTAAACCTTATTGCTGGCATAATTCATTTTTAAATGTATCATTCTTATTTATTTTTTTTTACTTTTCGCTGGAATCTAACTAAGATTGCTGCGAGATGAAATATTTCATTACAGGTATATTAAACTACAAAGCAACATATTTGGTCTTTGTTCGCAAATGTATACAAATCACACGGTTTTGTTTTAGAAGGAATTAAATGGCTATTTCAACACCCCACTCCACTCCAAAAATACTCAATGTGCCCCAAATTTGCAAAATTCTGGATCCACTCCGAAAAATTCCGTTCTATTAACAGTGAACTAATTGTTGAGACAATTACATGCACAGCATTAATATTCCTGCAAAAATAAAAATATTAAACAAGCCATCTCAATTACACATCTAATAAAAATTAATCCTGTGTTTACTATCAATAATTTTCATCCCAGGCACAAACGTGAAAGGCTGCTAAATTAATTTTGTCAAGTAGGTCACGTCTGCTGCAATTTGGGGGTCTAATCTGCGACTTTAGAACTTTACACATGTTAGAGATACTTGAGGCACATAATGTCCGCTGTGATAATCAGTCTAAACATTATAGAGTTTACATAAGTTGTCTATCAATCTGATTTTGTGTTCTCTGTATATACTGACATGCATTTAAACGTATGTCTGATTATTAATCCCGTTATTATGGGGCTCATATTGTCAAAGCATGGTGTTTATGCATCGTTATAATCACGAGGATACCTTCAGCCTTTCCCTACAAACTGATGACGTATCTAAGCTATTTTAGGAGCGAGTTTCCTATATCTTAAAATTAGAATGTATGTGCTATTTTCTTATTCACAATATCTGTAAATCTGTTTTCTTATATAAATATTTAGGCCTGCCGTTTACTGAGATTATACATTGCATTTTTAAATCTTTACACCCTGCTCAATTTGTAGGTTAAAACTGTAATTTCAACCTTTCTCCCATTTTCACAACATCCTGCATTTAATCGAGGACACCCCCTTGGTAGCTGTTTGTCATTTGTATGTATTAATGCGCCTCTGGCGCCCTGACTATGAGGAGTTGATAAAATCAACTCCCAAAAATCAACTGATAGAGGAAAGGCCAACCAAAAAATATAGAAAGCTATGTTACAACGCAAAATGTAATAACGACGCAAAATGTAATAAACTTGGATTGTAACATGTTGTGTATTTCATTTTGTATCAAAGTTAATTCAGTGGAATGAAATAAAGTAAAATATACAGGACTGTATCTACTTAATACTTTATGTACTTGTACATTAGTATTCGGATTTTGACCTTTATCTTTCTCTTCCAATTTATAGAGCTTTTTAGACGACATTTACAAGTGGCAAATTGGACAGTCGACATTTAAATCATTAAGGAAGTATGACGCTTTTAAAGAAAATATTTTCTTTTCTGTCGTGTTCTATAGTTTTTACAAATTCTCAGTATATTTATATGAATACTGGTTTTTGGAATGAGGAGAGTAAGAACGAAGTTCTGTACAGCAAGATCATGAGAGACGTCCTGGCAATTGTAATTCAGCAGAATGAAATTTACACGAATGAGATAAACCGTCTTCAGCGTGAAATAAAACAACTTCGGAAAGATGTAATAGCCAAAGCAGGAAACAACAGTCATTCATCTTTGAAGTGTAAGTATATACCGGACAGAATAAGTTAAGGAACATGGAGTATTTCACTGATTAAAATTAAACCTTTGTACTTACATGGCAGAATATAAACATATAAAAATTTATTTGATCTGTATTTTATACTTCTGACCTTTAATGGACTAGGTACAGTAATATATAATAACATAATGATATAGAAAATCTTAATGTTTGCTTTCAGTTTTCAAAAAATAAAATGAAAAAAAAAAAAAAAAAACAAAACAATAAATCACGTTTAAGGGGGCCGACTGGGGTTTTAATTGCGCAATACTTTGCGCAGCATATTAAAATAAAGCGTATTTACTCTTTTAAAGCAACTATTTTTACATAATTTATAAAAATTAACAAATTTAGGAAATCTCAGGTTAAAAAATCTAATTACCTTTTAAAATAGCTGATTTTTTAAACGATTTTTCAAATGATGGCCAGATAGACGTCGTAATAGTGTGTTTTTGACGTTATGAATAACCGAAGTTCTTTAAGCGGGGTCATTAATTATGCCATAAAATAAAAAGTATAAAATACATGCTCTTGAAATTTAAACACAGGAAATTGAGAATCTAACAATAATTTTTGTAATTTTTTATGTAAATCTGTGGTATCTGTCATGTTTTGTTGTACTCCATAAAAACAGGAAAATATCATGAATTTTGAGATGCCCCCTCTGGAAACCAGACGGTAGAATTTTGTGTTTCTTGCACAATATGTACAGTATAGTATTTCCCATCAAATAATATAATTTGAGCAAAAAGTCTATAGTAGCATTTGTATAATTTGCTCCGAAGTGCGAAAAAATGGTATTTTCCTATATAATCCTATAGTAAATGTATCTGTATTTTGAGATGGTCCCTAAAAAATAACCAGACGGTAGATTTTCACTAAACTTGGCACGTATACCGAAGTCAATGTAAGGTACATATGGTATAAAATTAATGAGTTTCTCTGTAGTAGTTTTCACACAATAAAACCCCAGTCGGCTCCCTTAAAATGGAGTTTGTTAGTTTCCTCATATAAATACTTAATTTGGTTTGGTTTTGTATTTAATTTGTTTGGTTATTTGGTTCTGACTTTTTAAAATTTAATTTTTTTTAAAAATTTGTATAATGTTTATTTGTTTGTTTTGGTCAAGTTAAGATTGAATTTTTCTGCTATATTTGCTTCATTTTCTGTTCGTTTTTTTTTTTTTTTTTTTTTTTTTTTTTTTTTTCAAGATGCCCATTCAGTCATTGATAAAGAGAAAGTAATGATCTTACAAAGATACTACTCCAGAACCAATACTTCCAAATTAAACGTTTATCCCGTCGGCATTCAGATTACGTACCCTATAGAATAATAAATATAAATCGTTTTTGAATGCCCGTTTAGCTTGAGTAAAGATTTTTTTTATAAATCAGTCTCCACGTTCTTGAAGTCTGCTCTAGAGTCACGAAGTAAGGAGCTGATCCTCACGTCGCGGGTTCGAATCCCACTGTGGGACGTGGAGACCGGTCCTTCGGATGAGACCGTATAAACCGAGGTCCCGTGTCGCAGTAGGTGCTGGCACGAAAAAGATCCCTCACTGCTCAATGGCCGTAAGTGCCGAGTATAGGACAAAATTTGCAGCTCTCCACCGGCAAGTGGTGGCGTCTCCATATGAGTGAAAAATTCTCGAGAGGGACGCTAAACAACATACAAACAATCAAACGTTCTTGAACATTGTCTTCATTAATTATATTTACTAAAAGTTACGATTCTGAATTATACAAACATAATTCACCTCTCAGTCTGATTGAAAGGGGCAGGTACACAAACTAACTCATATATTTTTTTAAATTTTCTAAATAATATCATGACTTACATGTTGTTAGAGTTCACGCCGAAATATATAAAAATGTGTTTAGAATTTTCTTTTATCTGGAAAGTATTAAAACTACGAATTTCGGGACGCATTAGATTAGGTAAACTTTATCCATAATGCTTAAGAAATGTGTATTAATGAAAAAAATGAAAACTATAATCCAGAAAGTTCAGCGTAGAAATGCGAGAAAACAAAACCAACTCACCAGTATTGTCAGTCCGTACTCAGTGATGTTTGCAGACTAAACAAATTGAACACACCCGGTAAAACGTAAACTCTAACAATATGAGCTCGTGCCCTGTTTACAAACACAGGTGGTTGATGTGATGTTATGAAGAATTGTTATCAGAATTGTTATTGAATTCTTAGAATATTCATGTAAGTTCAAATCATAAAACTGAAGATATTTTTTGAATAAAAATAGATATTTAAATTTGTAAACAATGCAACTTAGCCCAGGCCCATTTAAAGGAGCTGATGTTTTTCTGTTTTGAAAACAAAACAAACGATTGGTTGATTTTATGTTGTTTTATGTCCCGTTCAAGAATTTTTCACTAATATAGCGACGTCAACATGTACTGGTGAAGGGCTTCAAATTAAGACCTTGATTCGGCACCTATACCATTGAACAGTGAGGGTTCTTTATCGTGCCACGGGGTTTCGTTTTTAAGGACTCATCCGAAGAAACCGCAACTTTCACTTCAAAGTGCCGAGCGCTTGGCGAAGGAACAGTTGCTATCTATTCTTTATCGACTTAGGTCAGTCGCGGCCATGATTCCAACACACGACCTTCCCATCATGTAGCGAGCGTTTTATCGACTGAGCTACCGTGACGGCCAAAACAAACGGGGAAAAGATGCATGAAGTCAATAAGTTAAATATTAAAAAAATATACATACATTGTATTTTTTGAAAGTTCATACAATTGTAACTACAATTTGCCAGACACTGCACATGTGTGAATATATTACGAAGCATGTCAATTTTTTTGCCTCGTAGAAAACAATACAATAATCTCCATCTCCAGATTTAATTTCATAAATATCCACAGGTGAATCGGGTGTACTAGGAATTCACAAATCTCCTCCTCCTACCTGGCCATATACACAAGTAGTCAGCTTCCGTTCTCCATTTCGGGAAATACCAGCATTGACTTATGGTTTGTATCGACTCGATGTTGGGCATCGCACCAATCTTCGAGTGAATACAGTAGTGATGGATATCACAAACAGAGGATTTAACGTGAGGCTGCAGACATGGGGAGATACCATTTTATATGGAGCCAATATTAGCTGGATGGCTTGTGGAGGATAAAAATTTGCTTATCGTCGCTTATAAAATTCTTAAAGTTTTATGTAACTTGGTTCAGTAGTTCAGAGATGTAGAAGATGTTTTCTAAATCTGACATAACATTAAAAGATTTTTTTCTTTACGTGGGGTATTACAGTGTATATACACTTATGGGAGATGGAATAGTGACCAAAGGGGTGCGGAATTAGCGTAATTTGCTAGGTAAATTGACCTAATTAGCTTTTCTACAGCGATTGAGAAGGAATTAGTTCTATGTTAACCTACAACGGAACACAGTGATTTCTCCGCTTACTGATACCAGCATCTCACCTCACAATTCATGCTAAAGTACATGAACACTTCAACATTTTCTGGCTATGACACGCGGGGTTGCAGATTTGATCGGTTCATGGTGAAAATCTTTACCTAATTTACTCTCGGTATCATTCTTGTACTCCCGGGTGGTACACACTAATACTGTAGTTTTCACCGTTTATTTGGGGGTGAAAGTCCAAATATTATTGGAGTATCTTCTGCAAAATTATGCTAAGAAACCCTTCATATGACTCAAATAATGAAGAATGATAAATAAAGCAAGGATTTTTCACCACCTTCTGCAAAATTATGCTAAAAACCCGTCATATGACTCAAATGATGAAGAATGATAAATTAAGCAAGGATTTTTATAAAGAACCGATCAAATCAGCAACCCCTCGTGTCATAGCAAGAAAATGTTGAAGTGTTCATGTACTTTAGCATGAATTGTGAAGTGGGATACTGGTATCAGTAAGCGGATAAATCACTGTGTTCCGTGGTAAGTTAATATAGAGCTAATTCCTTCTCCATCGCTGTAGAAAAGCTAATTGGACTAATTTACGCTTCAAAGTCCGCACCCCCTATAGTAACTATTCTGTACCCCCATATGTGGGTTTATACATAGTGGATATGTTGTGTTTGTTTCTTATTTATTTTTTTTTATTAAGAGAGAGAGAGAGAGAGAGAGCTTTCTGATGTAAGTAGTTGAACACAACAAAGCAGTGAAACATTGTTCGCATTGAATGATCTATCTTGATCCTTTTCAATTGTATAGAATGAAGACAAAAGTAATAAAGGGATAAGACAAACATCACATAGAATCAAAGTTCGTTGAACTTTCCATTCTGGAGTGCACAGTAAGAAGGCACAAACGAATATTTCATTCACATAAAAGAAAAATTCTATCGTACAGCTTTAAGATTAAATTTATTTTATCTTGGTTAGTCGTATATGTTTTTAACTTCTTTTTCTCGGAATTCATTAAACGAAAAACTGGTGTCTCGTCAAATTTACGATTTCATTGTAAACAAAATGTGTTTTTGAAACACTGATTCCCCCGTATGGCAACTTATGACAAAGATAAAGATTCTCAAATGCAAGTCAAACTTCAAGGTCAAGAGATCAAAAATGGTACCCAAAGAAAAGTCTTGTCGCAGGGAATATACATGTAACTGTAAAATATAAAAGTCTTAGCATCAACCGTTCAAAAATAATGATCGCGTTTTTCTTTTTTAAAAAAGTAAGTCAAATGTCAAGGCCAACGTCAAATGATCATAATTAATGGTGCCCAAGGGAACGTCTTGTCACAAGAAATACACATGTGAAATATGAAAGACCTAGGACCAACCATTCAAAAGTTATGGCCAAGGTTAACTGCAAGATCAATGTTATAATAAACAGGTCAAAAATATTTATACAAAAGGAAAGGCCTTCTTCTCACAAGGAATACCCTGTGAAATATGAAAGCTCTAGCAAAAACCATTCAAAAGTTATTGCCAAGGTTAAAGGTTTGAATGTAGGTCAAATTCCAAGGTCAATGTCAAAGGATCTAAATTATTGATTCCAAAGGGAAGGTCTTGTCATAAGAAATGCACACGTGAAAAATGAATACCCTAGCACCAACTGTTCAAAAGTTATGGCGAAGGTTTAAGTTTCTCAAAAGTAGATCAAACTCAAAGGTCAAAAGATCAAAAATATTCATACTCTAGGAACAGTCTTTTTACAATGAATACACATTTGAAGTATAAAAGCCTTAGCACCGACTGTTCAAAAGTTATTGCCAAGGTTAGAGTTTGGTAAAATTTTGCAAAAGTGGGTAAAACTCCTAGGTCAATGTCAAGAGGTCAAATATGTTGGTAACCAAAGAAAGATCTTGTCATGTGAAAAACGAAAGCCATAGCTCCAACCAATCAAAAGTTATGGGCAAGGTTAAAGTTTTTGAGGACAAACAGACAGACAGACAGACGGTCGGACGGACGGACATGCCAAAAACTATATGCTCTCGAATCTTCGATTACGGGGGCATAAAAATCACATTTATAAGTGAATCAATAAGCACACACATGTAAAGAAAACACAGCCTTCATGAGGAGTATGCTGAAAAGACATATGCAACATACTCGAAGCCTGTAGTGTAACGTTGTCGAATGAATGATATTTACCTAAAATTAACAACTGAATTCATTTATGACTCCAGTTTGACATATTGCATAGCTTGGGAAACATTGCAGCTAGAATCCACATATGTTAATAAGAAAATGATCATCTAATATAACATTTATACAAAAAATCCTCCCAACATTTCTGCATTTTGATTGGAGATAACATATATGTTCTCACAAAACATCACTATGCACACGATTCTAGCATTACTAACAATTAAGTGGAGTTTCATTCTATGTGCTATTGAAAAACTGTACTTTTCAAGTATGTACGCGATAAAATGTTATACATTGTACCGAAGCATTTACGAAAAAAATAATGCCAGAGGAAAGGCTAACCGAAACATATAGAAAGCTATGTTACAACGCAAAATTTAACAGGGTTATTAGATTTTGCTTTATAACAATTATTTGTGTCAAAGTTAATGCATAATGCCATAGGGCAAAATAAAAAAAAACTTTGGATTAAATGATTACATTTGTGTTATTATATTAAATATAAAGTAATTCTATTTTTTTTTATTTAATGAAGAAAATGGGAAATACAATGCAATCCACAATGTTTTCTTGTTGCAAATTTGACTCTTCTATCCAAAATATTCATACATTTCCTGTCGATATACGTTTTGGGTTAATCCCTGAGGCAAAGTTAATTAATTAAAAACAAATTCTCATTATAATTTTTGTTAATTGACTAAACGGAATGATTGGCATATTTTCGAAGTTTTCGTAATTTAATCATTGTTCCGTTCATTATACCTCAAATATATTTTTAATAAATCGAATAGGATATTTTTTAATATCTGCTGTTACAAAAGAAGTGTTTCTATTATATTTTTTGTTCCTGCTAACAAAAATTATTTAAAATTTTGCTCCTCGGGAAATGATTTCTCCCATCTTAAGATGGAGGGATAAACTTTTATCCTTTAGTATACTAGTGATTATTTCAATTTGCGTTAACAAAGTTTACGTGGATTTCGACACAGAATGGTTGAAACACAAAATTTGCATTTTAATATATCTTTCAAAAACACTTACCTCTGAGGTCCGGATTGGCTCTGTCCCAATTTGTATTGTTCCAGTGGACTTTTGAGTTTGATTACCTTTCATAATCGTCATATATCATTATATTGGCAGAATTTTGAAACTTCGGAAAATATGATTAAAATCAGTCAGAAATATTATATAATAGAGTTTATAATTACATTTCGCATTAATCTTGATGCAAAATGTAATAAGACAAAATTTAACAATCCAAAAAGCGGTCTATTATATTTTGCGTTGACCTCAATACAAAATGCAATAACGCAAAATGTAATGATCAAAAAGGTGTTTTATTATATTTTGTGTTATTACATTTTGTGTTCATCTTGACACAAAATGTAATAAAGCAATTTATAAGAATTATATTTTATCACATTTTGCGTCGTTATTTTGCGTTGTTGCAAAGCTAAATCTCCTTACTTCTACACATGACAGACAAATTTGTGTCTATGTGTATTGGTGTATTTGAAGATACCAAATATATTTGTTTATTAAAAATTAACAATGCCATGAATTTGCATATTATGAAGGGAATTCAAGGTGATCAAATTAAACTGTGATTCCTCAAAAGTTCAATAAACAGTGAATTCTGTAGGGTGGGACCAACTGAAAAAAAAATCTTATTTTCCATAACTACTGGGCAAGTCTTAAAATACTAGCAGTTTATCGTGATATTTATCACATTCATGCTACGTAGGGTCTCTATAGAGGTGATAATTTTGGCACAAATCGGATCAAATTATTATTATTATTATTATAATATTATTATTATCAGGCCCTCAGGAAGCAATTTCACTTTGAGGGACACAACCATACATTTTTAGTGGGGGGCATTGTCAATTACCAAAAATTCCTTGACAAGCAAACAAAAAAAACCCAACAAACAAACAAAAAGGGTCATCAGACGTTATTATTGAGGGGGCACAAGCATATATAGTAGCTATGTTTTCTAAATTATTCTATATATCGGCGAAATTATTTGAGGCACGCCCCTGTGCCCCCCCCCCCCCCCCCCGATTCCTACGGCCACGAATTAAAAACTGCTTTTACATGTATACAGCACCTTATCTAATTATATAATTACCCTAAAGCACTTAACGCGTAACGGAAGTACAATATTAAAACGGAGAACAATAAATAAACCGAAAGGACATAAAAATAATCGAAAACTTAAGTTCAAATAGAAATTAAAAGTAAAGAATTTTTTCTACATTTTTTATTAAATCAATTAGATGCCTAATTATTACATAATAAATCAAAAGAAAGTTTTGTTTGTTTTAAAAAATTGTGTTTTTAACTTTTTTTTAAAAAACAGCAAGTGATTGTTCGCACCGAAGGTCCAGCATGTGGCTGTTCCACATGATGGCTGAAGATACATCGAACTTTCTATCACCATACAGCCTATTATGAGTGCCGTGGCTTTAGAAGGCACAATGAATCCCCAGACTGAAGTGCACGCTGTGAGCGGTAGACCTGAACCAGTTCCCGGATGTATGCTGGGGCTACATTTAGTGTCTGTAGAGCCTTGAGGGTATACAAAAGGATCTTATATTATGTTCGATATGCCAGAGGTCCCAGTGAAGAGTTATGAGAATCGGTGTAATATGCTCATGTTTCCTTGAGCGTGTTACTAGTCTGACAGCAGTGGTTTGAGCTTTCTGCAACTTTGCAAGGATGTGGCATTAAACCATGAAGAAGTGAATTTCCATAATCAAGTCGAGATGTAACGAGAGATCTAACGGGTATCCTGCACGCCTCCTCTGTTATGAGGGATCTCATTCTATCAATCTTACGAAGATGGAAATTACAGGATCCAGTCACTGAATTTATTTGACACTCCGTGCTAGAGTTGATGTCGAAAAATACAGGTACCCTAAGATTTTTGACACAGGAAGCATAAGTGATGACAGATCCACCAAATGTGAGTTGACATCTTGAAAATTCATTAGCCTT